TGACTCTGACACCCACGTTCGCGTCCTCTGTATCGCAGTGTTAACACTTGTTGGACGCATTTCGCGTGATGTCTTAATGCCGCGGAAAGTTCATGGGTTTTGAGGGAATAGTTAAGATGGTAACAAATTCCAACAGCTGGCGCCCGTTGGGTCATCAGCTGCCACACAGCATTCCATAACTTTTGTCATTAGTCATTAGTTTAATTGAAGTAGGTATAAGGCAAAAAATTCACTTCCAGCTAGTGTTTGAATCCTCCTTCTGGAAATGTCTAACTTTTGTCGGTGATTGTTAACGGTTTGAACTTTGCCAGTGATTTCAGTAGCGTAGTGTCGGCGGTTTTGTCTCTTAACGTTTGTCGACAAATAAAATCAGTTTCTTACTGTTTTGTTGAACAATTTTCTGTTCATCATTCATCTTCAAACATATCGGAATCAACACTATTCAGTTTTAAAGTTGCTGACTCTAGTCATAATAAATAAAAGGACAAACGTATTAAGGGGGCGTTATTATGCGTAATTTTCAGTAAAATAGCAGTCTTTTGTCGAGAGTTTTAGAAAATCTAAGCAAATAAGAAACAACGAAAAATTAGATTATAAACAATTTGAAAAACCCATAGTTACAAGGAAAAATACATTCGATTCGAAAGAGTGTTAAAAAATAATTGACTTCTTTTATTTTTAAATTAAAAGCGAATTTTCGGCGCACCTTTTTCAGGACGACAAGAAAAAAGTACGGTTACAGGTGTGACGTCACATTATAAGTTGCTTTTTAGATAAATTCCAATGTTAGGCGACCTAGATGTTCATAAAGTGAGATAATAGCACAATTAAACCTGAAGCAAAATTGAATAATGCTGCATTAACTAGCCATTACAATTTAAAAGCAGAATTAATTGGGTGTTTTTTACGCCAAATTCCAAACATGAAGTGAGATAAAAACCTGCAGTTCCATTCTTTTGAATATAAATTCGATTTTCTAAAAATAATTTAACATATATTTTTTTTGTAAATGGTAACGTTCTTGATATACAGGGTGTCCCTGAAAGGTCTTTACAACGCTCCGCCAGATACAGTGCGACTCAAAATAAACTTGATAATAAGGGAGCTGTAGGGTGTCAAAGTTAAAAAAATAAATAACATTGTTATCAATTTTTGGACTAAGGCAAGTTTAGTGAAATCGACTTAATTTGAGCCATACTATACTGGTGGTGGTGGAGCATTGTACAGAGATCGATCATTTTTAGTCTGTAATAAGGAAACCATGAATATATAGGTATTGATATTTACCAGATAGCAATTATTCGACAATCAACTACGTCTTAATTTATTTAGTATTGCATATCTAACAATCGTTAATGGTATCTCCTGCTCTAGAGCTTAGTATACGTAGAGTAGTGCTGTGATAGAAGTGAATATGGTAAATACTACTACTACTACTACTACTAAAGCTTCATTATGTTGAAATAGATATAATATCTGCGTATGTACATACGTGTTCTCTAGTACACCCTCTTGTAAGTAATTGCTGTTACTGTTGTTGTTTTTTGTTTCAATGGAAAGTTTTCGTAAATAGAAGAAAAAAATTAGGACGGATTTTAGGCAATTATTTATTTTTGTTTGTAGATAGGTCAAAAAATATATACAACAAGAAGAAGAAGAATATAGGGTTATGTTGTTTATGATGTTATAAGAGTGTGAGCGAAATAAAGCGAGCCAAAAAGTAAAACGTTGTTTTTGTGTGTGTACAGAGTACAGAAAGAAAATAAACCTAACAGGATGTAAAAACAAAATTGTAATTCACAATTTATTTTTTATCTTCGAGTTTCCTTTACTAACAATGTAGTCATGTTTAACCACTTACATTTTTGTAATTTACTGCCAGAACTCGGAACTATATCGCCCGTCTATCTCTACAAAAATTAATCTTGCATATAACTCATCTTATTCTGGGTAAATTTGGAAGTTGTAAACACGATATACGCCGCCATTCATCAAACTTATAAAGATTTTTTTATCGGCTTTCGAAGAGTAGTAGTTGTCCTGCTTTTTAAGTTTCCACCGCAATATTTCTTTTCTTTCTGATAAGATAGGGAAATAGTCTGAATATTGTTGTGGTATATGTCAAAGGGGTGCATAAAAAAATAAGTGGTATCTTGTATTCTCAGAATAACAAAACATATATTTGTAAAATTGCTCAAAAATATCTCGTATTAGGTTTTAAAACAAAGTGACGCGGTAGCAGACAGCATTGCGATGACGGTTTATTAGGTATTTTTTCCGAGCACACAATCATATAGGCTAAAGGATAAATCAAATGCAGTTAAATAAACAACCGGAGAAGGTTATCGGGAATCTTTCACGATTTTCAGACTTCCATTAAATCTCCCCGGCATTTTTCACATTGTCGGTGGTTGGGGTTCGACGATAAAACTCCATTAGTTCGATCCACTTACCTTCCTACAGCAAATCACGGAAAAATCCTTTCCCTCAAAGTGGGCACTCCGTTCTTAATTGGGTTAAATAGGCCGGAGCCGTGGGAAAGACACGTAACCACGCCTCAGTGGGTTTTCGTCAATTTTTTTTATTTGATTCCAGTTCGGGAAATACAGGGTGTTGACGAACTCGAAGAGGATACGGTCGGTACAAATATCTTATGCAAATAGAATAACTCTTTGTAATACGTACTGATTTACCACGATGATACGGTGAAAACTTTTTTGGAACCGCTGGCTTCAGCCGGTGGTTCCAGAAGTTCCCAATAAGTTTTGACAATTTTGATTATTATTCATTTTAAGCACGGTTTTACAATTTTTTCTCATGTATAAATAAATTTCTATAAACACAGTCGAAAGTAAACACTCAATGATTGTACGTGTACATTTATTTGTCTAATATATTAAATATTTTGCTTTTAAAATCGTCATTTGGTATCTTCAACTTTAATATAGTTGAAGTTTAAACTTCAAGATATCAAGAGGCTACGCAACCAGCTTCATGAGAAAATTGTAAAATTTCCCACTAATGAGGGTTTCCAAACAATTATTAATTAATCATTCCAATCAATTTGAAACTATCGCCGTATTTAAGTAGTCGTAACGATAAATATTAATGACGTGAAATTGTTTTCCATAAAACGCAAAAACTACACACGTGTACTTTATATTTAAGTTCGCCACGAAAATTGCAAAGAATTTTTGTTATTCGCCGTCGAATTCGTAGCATTACATGGAAGTAAAAATAAATCAATGCGAAGCAAAATGGAACTACAATGCTGTCGATCTGTCGCTTCTCACAAATATCGGCTTTCAGGACCGTTAATGGAAAAGTGTTATATTTCACGTTCTCAGGCAGATTTTCACTAAATGCTAAATTGGATTTGTTTGATTGCGAGGAAATTGGAGGAGGCTACTTGGCAGAAAATGCGATGCCATCAGAGCCGTAGACTTAATTGAATAATATAAACATATTCAGTTTTACGGTGTAAATTTATTCATCTAAATTGTCGACAAAATGCCTAGAACCGGCCCTGTCGTCGTATCTCATTAAATCTTATAAATAATCACATTTAGAGCGGGTTTGGTTTAATACAGACGAATATAATTGAATATATAATTGAAGGAACCTCAACTAATAATTAAATAGGTCGGAAATAGATGGGGCAACTCCTTAGAGACAAACCTAGGTCGGACATCATTTGGGAGTGATAGAATTGTCTGAAAGGGCCTTAAGTCACTTAAGTAGTGACCTGATTCCATAATTGTGACTAATGACGTATACAACATATAGCTAAAGCGTTTGGAAATTTTTATTGGCGGAATTTGCGCCCGAAAATTTACAAAATGTAGCCACAAAATATTAAGATTCAAAATAGAAATAGTAAATGTTATAGAAATAATATTTCTAAAACGAAGTATCACGTAAAGTAATCAATTAACAATACTTTAATCAAAGAATAAATAAAAAAGCCAATTGAAGTCTTAATAACCTAATTGGGCGTATTCCAATTTTGTATTGAAGTTAATTGGAATTATACTGAACTGACTTCAATTGGAATTTTATTGCACTCAGATTACAATTGGAATCGTATTATTAAATCAACTTTTATTTGCAATTGTATTGAACCTAATTCACTTGAATTGGAATTCAATTTTAATTTTATTGAACCTTTCATTTGAAACTGATTATATGCAACTGAACTCAATTTTAATTTTATTGAACTCATTCCAATTGGAATCATTACAATTGGAATCGTATTATTAAATCAACTTTTATTTGCAATTGTATTGAACCTAATTCACTTGAATTGGAATGATGTTTAACTGGGTTCAATTTTAATGTTATTGAATCTTTCATTTGAAACGGATTATATGCAACTGAACTCAATTTTAATTTTATTGAACTCATTCCAATTGGAATCGTATTATTAAATAAACTTTTATTTGCAATTGTATTGAACCTAATTCACTTGAATTGGAATGATGTTTAACTCGGTTCAATTTTAATTTTATTGAACCTTTCATTTGAAACGGAATTATATGCAACTGAACTCAATTTTAATTTTATTGAACTCATTCCAATTGGAATCGTATTATTAAATCAACTTTTATTTGCAATTGTATTGAACCTAATTCACTTGAATTGGAATGATGTTTAACTCGGTTCAATTTTAATTTTATTGAACCTTTCATTTGAAACGGAATTATATGCAACTGAACTCAATTTTAATTTTATTGAACTCATTCCAATTGGAATCGTATTATTAAATCAACTTTTATTTGCAATTGTATTGAACCTAATTCACTTGAATTGGAATGATGTTTAACTCGGTTAAATTTTAATTTTATTGAACCTTTCATTTGAAACGGAATTATATGCAACTGAACTCAATTTTAATTTTATTGAACTCATTCCAATTGGAATCGTACTGAACTTGTTCCAATTGGCCTGAGGCTTCAGTTGAATTATTGGACGTGGGTTGATTTTCGCATCTGTTGCCGCAGTGGTGGTTCGCTGAGTTGCCTGGTGGTCGAGTCCGATGGGGGCTACTATACGGCGATGCCGCCCACTGCCATGAGGCTCGACAGTCCTCCGCTGAACAACAACAACGCCTCCCGACCGGAACTGGAGCTGCTCGCCAAGCTGGAGGAAGCCAACCGCCTCTACGAGTCCGACGCCAAGTCGCTCAACTCGCTGAGCGGGGCGTCGGCGTCGGGGCATTCCAGGAAGAGCTCCGACACATCCCAGATCTCGCTCACCTCAGGTAATGCCGTTTATTTGTGTTTGGATTGTTTGTAGCGGTTGTAAGTTTGAATTCATGCGAAATTTTCATTAAGCTGCGATTACATTGGATACGAGTTCGTAAGAAAATTTGATCGTACGATATTGTACGAATTCGTACGAAATGCCAAATTGCAACAAATACGTTTATTTACAGATCTGTAGTTATACTAGCTGTGGCATGTTCTTAAACTGACGTACAACCAATCTGGTTTAATAATTGCTTTATGTTAGATACGAATTCATGATACGACAACATTCGTTTGTTCCATTTCGTCAGGTTTAAGTAAAATACGAGTATAACCGAATTTATAATGACAATAGAGACAGTAGTGCAACAGCGCTCATGCTTAATATACGTATTTTTTCTGACGATTCGTACGAGTTCAGACGATTTCATACGAATTCGGATCCAGTGTAACCGCTGCTTTAGTAGAAGTACACGGGGTGCTTTGTAACGAATGGCCCCTATTGTACTGGTAGGCTCCTGGAGTCAAGATAGGCCGATCTAACCCAACTTACCTTAATACAAAAATTAATAATAATAATTATACAACGTGTCAAAGATTTAAAAAATCGTTTTTTCTTAATATTTTTTGCCGCATAGCAGGTATTTGCACTAAATTGGGTCTACGGGGGTTTGTTGTGATGAGGAATTCAAATTCGATTATAGTATTTTGCCATATTTTGTAGGGGGCGCTTCGTTCGGCGCATGTAAAAGGTCTCAAGTTTGGTCCATTTTAAAAAGTTGTTGTTTGAAGACGACGACTTCTATTCTAAACGCGTATACAGGGTGTAAGAAGTTTGACTGCCATTATTTCAGCATGAGATAATAGAGTAATCATAAATGAACAAAAAAGTTGTATATTACAGGGGCGTAAGATTAACAGTTTTTCCACCACCATTTTCGATGGAAATGGAAATAGTGGTACGCAAAAAACACTCAGACACGGTCCAATTCCAGATACCAACTGAACTGCGTATTGTTGGACAGCTAAGTAGCTCGTGTTATCCGCCGCGCCATTGCTCGATATGAATTTTATCGAATTTCAAATTTATTACAACACTAATTATTTTTTACAATTAAGCATAAAGACGTTCAAAAAAATTATAAAAATTGTATTTTATGGTATTCTATGCACGCAGATATGTCAATATTTCTTAATTAATCGAACTTTTGTATATCAAATTGGATATTTTGATAATTTTTTTCTCGTAAATGGTTGAGATTAGGACCCATGTCATATAATATTTTCTTGCTTATTTTAATGTATTCTATCGTATGTTAAAATTAAGGCAGTCAAACTTCTAACACCCTGTATTTATTTACATTTATCTGCTGATAGTTATCAATGAATCAGTGTCAAGCTCATTATTTAAATAACTGTTTTCGCTTTCTCCGAAATGTATCAAGTTTGATTGAATAGTTCGCACCATTAAGTGACGTAATAATTGTCCTAGAGGTATTTCAATCTTATCTCCTTATCAGTAGTGGCATGTAATCCACACTTGTTTGTTTGGATCATTAAGTCCACAGTGTTTTACAAAATCTTTGTGATGTGACAGTAGACAGGCATGTGTGTGTAACTTGTAACATGTTGGAGTCGATTTTGGAGCTCGGTAATCACAATTTTGTACATTTCTTATGTAAAATATATACATGCACTTGTTATTAGAGTTAGATTACAATGAAATATGTTGAAAAAACTTCCAGTATAGTGATGTTCCAAACAAAGATACATTTCAAACAAGATGGGATATACATAAGTTAAATGCAATACTCGAATTAAAATAAAATATAGAAAATATAACCATTTGAAGTAAAAAAAAATTTGTTGGGTCTGTTTAAAAGTTAAGTTCCTGTTTTAAGAGATTCATAATTACTAAAATTCGAGCTAAAATTTGAGCACAACACTATCTTCGTACAACAAAATCGATACATTTCATTTTATTTATTTAAAAACTAGAAAACAAATGTCTTGAAATTTACTAAATGTTTCACAATAATAGTTGTTTACATTTTTTCCGTAGGACAAGTCTGCCGCATGCACACGTGGTATGATCGTTAGGTTAAGCACTGTTGTCACGTTGTGATGAAACTTCCCAATATTAATACTCACTGTATTTTGAAAACTGTTAATTTTACGCCCTTATAATATACAACTTTTTTGTTCAATTATGATTACTCTATCTCATGGCACTCAAACTACTTACACCCTGTATTTTACTGCCTATATGGCATAGAAATATTACTTCAAGAAGGGGGTCCGATCAATTCGAAGACGACACCCAACAACTGACTTGACGATCGTGCATCGACGATAAAAAACAGCTATTAACTATTAACGCAGTCACCTACGACCGTACAACATTAATTGCAAGTACATGTACCGCCGCTTACTAGATAAATTAGAAATTAGTGCGTCGGGCGCCTTTTCCAATGTACGATGCCCGCAGAGTGGCTAATTCCGTGTTTTTCGTGCCTTCAGGGACGAGCTCCACCCACGACCGCACCGAGGACGGGGGCGAAGAGGACCTGTGGGTGAGATGGGGCCACATCGCCAACGACTGGGAGAACCACTGGAAGAAGAACAACGCCCAGGTGCGCGAGATGGTCCGTCGCGGCATCCCCCTTCACTTCAGGGCGATCGTCTGGCAGCTGCTCTGCGCAGCCACTGAGGCTCCCGAGAAGAAGCTCTACGCGGAGTATATAAAAGTAAGCGTAGCGGCGGGAAAAATTAGTAAAACATAAAAAAAAACTCTCATATGTTCGATAATTCGATCATTTTAATGTTCATATTCCTTCGCAAATATTCAATATTTTTGTTCAAAGATAAATGTTTCCATCTTAAGTCGGCAAGTATGCGCTAGATGTCGTCAGTGCTACATCTCGCGTATACTTCATGTTTGCAGTTGACATAAAAAAAACGAGACAACAAAGTGGCCATTTTCAGACCAAATCGCCATGCGAAAAAGTGATAAGGAGGGACATCGCCAGGACTTACCCAGAGCACGACTTCTTCAAAGAGAAAGACGGACTAGGTCAAGAATCTCTTTTTAACGTCATCAAGGCCTATTCCTTGCACGACAGAGAAGTGGGTTATTGCCAAGGATCGGGCTTCATCGTGGGTCTTCTTCTAATGCAGGTACGTCCCTCTTCAGTGCTAGGTATCAATGTGATTGTGGATTATTTTAGATGCCGGAGGAAGAAGCGTTTGCCGTTCTAGTGAAGATCATGGAAGACTTCAGGATGCGCGACATGTTCAAGCCGAGCATGGCCGAGCTGGGTCTCTGCATGTTCCAGTTAGAAAATTTGGTGGCCGAATACCTACCAGATCTGAATCAGCATTTCCAGTCCCAAAATTTCCACACCTCGATGTACGCTTCCAGCTGGTTTCTCACCCTGTTCACCACGGCTCTCTCTCTACCGTTGGCGTGCAGAATAATGGACGTGTTCCTCTCGGAAGGGATGGAGATAATATTTAAGGTAGCTCTGGCGATGTTGACTTTGGGGAAGGAGGAGCTGATGTCCTTGGACATGGAGGGAATGCTGAAGGTAGTTTTTTATCATGTTATTTTTATTTTAGCCATACTGTTTGGTACTTGTATTATTTTTCTATTGTTTACTAAAATTGTCCCTTTATGGAAAACAATTTTAATAAAATGTGTTATAGTACTTCCAAAAAGAACTCCCGGGTCGCGCAGAGGCAGACCCCGAAAGTCTGATGCAGTCCGCTTACAGCATGAAGTACAACGCTAAGAAGATGAAGAAATTGGAGAAGGAATACAACGTCATAAAGACGAAAGAACAAGAAGAAATGGCCGAACTGAAGGTACCCCTTGAAATCCTTCACAATTCTAACCAGTGCCCTACCATTAAATCATTTTCCAGAGATTACGGCAGGAGAACAAGCAGCTAAGGCACAGGTGCGAGATGCTGGAGGAGGAAAGCAAAGCCCTGGCGGATCGTCTGGTGAGGGGTCAGGTGAGCAGAGCGGAAGAAGAAGAGACCACATTTGTGGTACAGAGGGAGCTGGACGTTCTCAGACACACCCACCTGGAGACGACTCACCAGCTCGCTCTGGCGAACGAAAAGATCAGGTCTTTGTCTTTGATGATGGAGGAAACGGTAAGTGAACTTAACACGAAACATATTTGTTTTGTAAAATATACACTTTAGCACACTTCGAGGCAGTCATCGATGGAGGAGATAACGTTGAAACAGGAGCAGCTGCAGCAAAGGGAAGAAATGATCGAGTGTCTGCAGGAAGAGCTGGTAAAGGTGAGGCTAAGGGAGGCGGAGAACGACGCTCTGATCCGGGACCTCAGGTCGAGGATCCACGAGTTAGAAGAAGACAAGAAGACCTTGAGGGAGATAACGCCAGATAACAGCGTGGCCCATTTACAAGAGGAACTGATCGCCGTGAAGCTTAGAGAAGCCGAGGCCAACCTTTCCCTTAAGGATCTCAGACAGAGGGTGTCGGAGCTGAGCAACCAGTGGCAGAGACATCTTCAGGTAAGAGGAGAAAACTTTTGCCTCAGCGACATCTATTGTGAATCGTTTATAGCTTTCGTACTTGCAGGAGCACAAGCAGGAACCGACCTCGTCCAGCGACGCTCACAGCACTCCGAAGAAGCTGTTGTTCTGGGAGAACCGTCACAACGAAACTCAGAAATTGGAAGAGGAACTCATGACAACCAGGATAAGGGAGATGGAGACCCTCACGGAAGTTAAAGAGTTACGGCTCAAGGTACTTTGGGTTATCAGCCGCTAATAGTGACATGTATTGGACAAACGTTTGTTTCAGGTTATGGAATTGGAGACTCAGGTGCAGGTGAGCACCAACCAGCTGCGCAGGCAAGACGAGGAGATAAAGAAGCAGAGGGAGAGCCTTGAAGCGGCCGAGTTAAGGGACAGGGAGGCAGCGGCTCGTCTTTTGGAAGAGCAGAGGAGGTACTCTGATCTGGAGAGTAAAATGCAGGACGAGCTAATGAAGGCTAAGATCAGCGACGCCGAGAAGACCCAGGCCGTGGCGGAACTGACCCAGAAGATTAGCCAGCTGGAATTGAAGGTGGGTAAAGGAATTGGTATTTTTCTTTTGCGCAAAACGATAATATTTATCGCTTCGTTTTTATTTAGAGCCAAGAAATTGCCACGGAAGGGGAGCTGAGGATCCACTCGGTGGACGATAGCGATAAAGTTCGGGATCTTCAGGACAAAGTCGCCGATCTGCAGGCCGAAGTAAGTTTGGTGTCTAGTTTTGGTAATTTATAATAGATCTATATTGTGGAAAGCACTTGCTTTAGCTTGATTTGAGTTTTGTACATACTGTAAATAAAACTCACAGAAAGTTAACATTGAATAATAGCCGCTTATTCTCAGAGTTGAAAAAAATTTGAGACAGAAAGAAAGATGGTAAAGTATATTTTCTCAAGTTTCCCGTCTAAAGTAGCACTTCGTATATAATTTTTCACATTACTTTCAAATTTAAGTGATCGTCAATTTTTTTTCAACAGCTGTGATTCTAATTATGCTAATAATCATTTATTTAGTTTCCCACGCCCATCACCAGTCCGGACACTGAGCCGTGGAAATGGCTCGAGTAAGTGTACAAATCAGTAATGCTTGATGTTGTGATTGATTACATTTAGAGTACTGTTGAGGTATCTTAGTTGAATTCTCGAATAGTCCGACCAGTTCCGTATTTCATTTTTGGATTAATATGCCACCTCCCGAAAAATAAAATTGAAGAATTTAATATTAGTCTGTCAATGGCATAACCTACAAAATTCTCACACAACTGTCAAACTGTACTCTTTGGAAGTGTTTAGATGTAGTGTTTGACGTAACCGGCTGAAATCTGTGCGCTTTTCATCTGAACGTGCCCCAGTACCAAAATAGTAGGGAGGCTATTCCATGGGTGTATCATTTTAAAGGGTTCCAAAAATTGTTGAATGTAGTAGATATGTGATTTTGGTAAAAACTAGATTATTCTTACAAATGCCATTTCTCTTAGATGGATGTTTATTCTCTAGATGAGCTAACGACGCTTATTGAGGTTATGTTGAAATGGATTCGGATAGCTTCCAGAAGCATCGAACACAAACTATTATTAGATCAAAAAGTAGTAAAAATTCTCGTTTGATTTTTATATTATTCTGATGCTTACTATTTTGGTAACCCGCACACACACGTCAATTTTTATGTTAAGGATATTGAATATTTGTCTGATTTATCGATGGAGCCTACTGATTGGTTACGGAATCGCGGTCGTGGCATATTTTCCAGCGGAATTAAATAAATAAGCAAAATAATGTGCATGAAGATCGCAATAGTATAGTTTTATTATCTCTGAAAGGTACATATAATTTTAAAATAACAAAAATCACTTAAAACATACAGTAACTTGTAAAAATTAAGTAAAATTAACTTCAAAGTTAATAGGTTGTAAACATAAGCTTGATTTTTTAAGAATTTTTACCTCAGTGGGGAAATTCATACATTATTAAATAACCTGATAACAGTAATTTTTTATATACAGGGTGTTCAGATTCGATCTGGAATGAAATTTTAGTGCATCGTACAATTTTGACGATTATTTTGTTGTATACAGGATGTGCCATTTAACACTCCCACTGCCAATATCTCTGAAATTAAAAGAAATATTTTAGTTCCAAAAACTGGGGTTGTTAGATCCCTCGAATAGCTTCAAATTACAGTTAGAACTGTTCAAATCTTTCTGTATAGATGGCGTGGCGATACTAAAAAAACCCTGGAACGTGGAAATGCAGTCCATCTGAAAGGTTGTTAAATTTTGAGTAATTTTTGTAATATAAAGTTTTTCCCTATATTTACTTGTTTTCGAGATATGTCGACTTTAATATGCAATGTATGATGTAACAGGAAAATCTATTATTTTATTTAAATCACACCTAGACAAAATATTCTTTTAAAATATTTTTATAATGATTTTATTCCCCCCCACATACTAATTAATAAACAATAAATTATAAAAAAAACAAATGATCAAATGATATTGAATTCGATATGTCTCGAAAACAAGTAAATATTGGGAAAAACTTTATATTACAAAAATTACTCAAAAGGGGGTGGGTCGATTTGGGCGGTTTTTGCGATAAAAAATGTGAAAAAATTCCTGTAATATCTACTACCAAAAATGAGTCGATCTGACCCGAAACGGACCACCCACTCACCACCCAGTTTCCCTGTAACACCCCCGCAAATACTGGAAATACGGTCACTAGATAACATCATTTTGGAGAGATTCGGCGCTGTAAAACTGGATAACTCGCCTCGATCACCATATCCTTGAGTTTTTGGGGTCGCTGATCACGAATTCGAGGCCCATTAGCCTCCATCAGATGGATTTCAAGGTCATTTGAAGGTTAAACTGAGAAAATGGTGATAACAAATATAAAATATATATACGTTGTTGGGGTCGTCGGTTCCGAATCCAAGTAACGTTTATGTGTTGTTGTAACCAATCTCACAGAGGTTAATGGACCCCGGATTCATGATCAGCGACCCCGGAAACCCACAGATATAATTTTTATGTTTTTTTATCAGCGTTTTCTCAGTTTGACCTTCAAATGACCTTGAAATACATCTGGTGGAGGCTAATGGACCACGGATTCGTGATCAGCAACCCCAAAAACCCAAGGATACGAGGCGAGTTATTCAGTTTTACAGCGCCGAATCTCTCCAAAATGATGTTATCTAGTGACGGTATTTCCAGTATTTGCGGGGGTGTTACAGGGAAACTGGGTGGTGAGTGGGTGGTCCGTTTCGGGTCAGATCGACTCATTTTTGGTAGTAGGAATTTTTTCACATTTTTTATCGCAAAAACAAAATGGGGCAAAAATCGACACACCCCCTTTAACGATCTTTCAGATGGACCATCTATACAGAAAGATTTGAACTAACAATTCTAACTGCAATTTGAAGCTATTGGAGGGATCTAACAACCCCAGTTTTCAGAACTAAAATAAATTTCGTCATTTCGTAGATATTGGCAGCTGGAGTGTTAAATAGCACACCCTGTATATGCAAGGTATCTTAGTAGATACATCGTCGTAATTATTTTATCATATAAAAGGAACTAATCAATGCAATGTTTAATATTACTGTTATTAGGAAGTATTTTATTACTGGATACTTAATCATATATTTAATTTTTTTCTGCATTCTGTTTAACTTACTTTGCATATCACGAGTGTGCTTTTTTTTGTATAAGTTGCGGTAGAATTGGAAAAATATTTTTAATATTTTTACTATTTAGATCAGCATTTTGCGTAGATAGTGCAAAAATTTACTTTTTTTTCTTAGCTATTAAGTAAGGTATTAAAATTATGTTACTCAAATTATGACTTGATAGAAAAATATTTCATATAATTTCTTTGAAATTATTTTTTTTTATCTTTTTGTATAACCTATAATTTTTATACACTGTCTCATTGGTACCAAATTTAACACCCAAGAGATAACAAGACATGACCATGAGGAGAGATGGCAATTACATTGTTGCTATTTTGCCACCTTTAGTTAAAAAATTAAATGCATGGTGCCAGCCCTAAGATGTCAAAAAGAGACTGTTTTTTTTTTAAGTTGGAGTTTTCCGTTTAAAACAGCATAAACCTGAATAAAATAAGTAAATTTTTCTATTTTTAAATCTCGAAGATAATGAAGATTAAGAGCTAAATTCGAAATTGTCAACACTGGACATTAGGGTGGCCCAAAAGAAAACGAATATTTTTTTTCGTTTCTCTTGTGAAAATATATTAGTTTATCATGTTTTAAGAGTCCCCTCAAAAAATATCTCAATACAAATTTTTTAGAGGTCACTCAAGATTTTTAAAAACATCCAAAATCGTCAAAAATTGATTTTTTTTAAATTTTTTTTCTCGTTATTTTACCATTTTCTAGGTTGAAAAAAATCTCGATTCTGAAAATTTCAAATCGATATTTTAATTTCTAAAGGTCACTCATAATTATTTTAACTTTAAAAGTATTGTACCTAAAATGTTTTCGAGCGACCTCTAAAAATAAATATCAACGAACTAATAATTTTTTTTATTGAATTTGATGATCAAAAGAATAGAAATAAATCACGAGACACTTAAATTTTAAAATATTAAAAAATTATAAATATTTGATTATCACAGTGCGGTTTTTTAAGTGTCTCGTAATTTATTTCTATCCTTTTGTTCATCAAATTCAATAAAAAAATTATTAGTATGTTGATATTTATTTTTAGAGGTCGCTCGAAAATATTTTTAAAGTTAAAATAATTATGAGTGACCTTTAGAAATCAAAACATCTATTTGAAATTTTCAGAATAGACATTTTTTTCAACCTAGAAAATTATAAAATAACGAGAAAAAAATTTAAAAAAGAAATATTCAATTTTTGACGATTTTGAAAATTTTAAAAAATCTTGAGCGACAAAAAATTTTTTTTGAGCTGATTTTTTGAGGGGGCTCTTAATATATGAAAAACTAACATATTTTCACAAGAGACACGAAAAAAACATTTATTTTTATATACCACCTTATTGGATATGTTCACACGAGCTTTCACTCGGAGTATTCACGATAAAATGCAAGTGCTCTTTTATTTTGGGATGTAAACGTCTATCAGACAACCTGTTTAAAAGTAGCAAGGGGTATACCATTAAAAAAAAAACGTAATTGTCACAAATCAACAAGCAGTGTGTATTTGTGCACTTTTTTTTATATACATACAAGTTTCCCCGACATTACATGTAATTGCAAATACATTGCTCTTAACTAACTTAACTTAACTAATAATATCCGCGCGTCTCCCCAGAACTTTTATTTATAAATTGGCCCGTCTTGTTTCAAGGTCATGAGATTGGAATCCTACCAAAAAGGAGGCTTAGGAAACGGCAGCGGCCTCCTGTCCACGGACAGATCCTCGTCCATCGACAGCACCGATGACGACATCAAGTTCCGATTCGACGATCCCACCTTAAGGTTGGATCTCGCCGATTCCCCCACCACCCCGCCCGAGCTTAATTTCAGCGATCTGTCTAAGACCGCCGTCCCGAAAAACGGCGACGGCGACAAACTGGACGCCAACAGAAACAAGCACTCCGCCCCGGAGGTGCACAGCTCTGAAAATCGCGTGCCACAGGTCTGACAGCACGACTGAGTTTCTAGGATAATTTGAGGTGTAGCGTAGGTTTGTGGTCTAGACGTTCAGTAGTACCTCATCCCGCCGGACACCATTGCTGGGTCGCGGTTAGTTTTTCGGTATCGTGATTCGAGATTTAGATGTGTATATACATAATTAGGTGGAATTCTTGAATTTGCAGGGTTTATCGCGTAATTGAAGTCATGTTTAGAATTTTGTAACTCCAATTTTATAGAATTTTGCTTCGAGATACAACTTTGTAATGGTACGTTGAAGATAAGACGTATAAATAATGGAGAAAAGTTTACGAAGGATATTGGTACGACTCGACTAATCCCATAAAACAAGGTTATGGGTTGGCGTGCCCGTAACTTTAACGAGAAGTGTTTCTCTCACATTTCTGTAACTTATTTTCTGTCCTTAGATTAGCACCAATCTAGTAAGTTATGTTAGTCATTTATTAGGCCGGGCTTGCAACGCAAACAGAAACCCATTCTCAAGTTATTAGTTTACGGCTTTGTATACCGATACAAAGCCGTAAAGGCTTTGTATCGGTTTTGTGCACCGCACAAGTGCAGCTGAGGGTAAAAGAAATGTCCGAAAATGACTAAAAGAATATCGTCCGCAGCTGTACGGGTGCAACAGTCAGTTACATCTAACTGACATCTGTCAACTGTCAGTTTACAACTGTCAATTTAATATGAGGTTATATTTGACGTGTAACGTTTCTCTTTTTGAAGGTAAAAAAATGTGTTAGCAAAAACTAATAAGTCCGTTATTAGGTTATTACTTTCACATCTCCTTATTGTGTACTTAATTTCCACTTTGCTAATTTCTAGGTAAACGTAAAATTTCTGTGAAAAAAAAAGTATATATAACGGAAACCTTGGTTTCGTCCAAGATGTATCTTATGAATTAGTGAGAGTTGTTAGAGTAGATTTTTTAATATTTTATCTGTGTTAATCTTTAGTATTATAAGGGGGCTGTTGAAAAAAAAAAAAAAAATGGAAATACCGTTTGGTTTCGTGGCGCAAAGCCAGTAGTGTCGTCGTTAGAGTGATGTGAACCCAACCCGATAGTCATGTCATATACGTAGCGGTTATCGATTCAGAGTAACTTGACTAAATCTTTAATTTAATTTATTAGAAAGCTATATTCCCGAGGAAACGTCTCGAGTTAATCTCGTTACAGTATTACATGGTTTATTAAAAATTATTTTTAACGAATTTTTTTTTAAATTTTAATTTGTATGTACTAGTATTTTAAAACTTTTTTTTAGTATACGGCTATACATTTTAACTCGAAACGTTCCGTCGGGCGACTACGTAATTAGGTGCTATTTTTATGTACTGGTTAAAGTATTTATATTTATTTGCGTTTATTAATAAGTTTATTGTCTCTAAAAACAACATTCCCTAGATAACATCGAAATAACAATTTCGTAACGTGTATCGATAATGTTATAATACCTTTTAATGTAATACTCAAAAAAAAAAATTGCTCGCACATAGTGAAATAATATCGGTGTGGTTAGATTTTTTATTGAGGTAAAGTATTTTATTATTTAATTTTATACTCGTTGTGTTGGTTTAAATTTTATTTCGGATCCAGTCTTGAGCAATAATTATTTTTATTGTTGTAACGTGTATCGTTAAATTTAATTGTCAGATTATACAATTTTGTCATTGGTATTGTTTGCTTGTATGTACGTATTTTTTTTTTAAATATATTTGTATAACAGATTCTGTGGGATTTTATTACCTGCCTTGATTGGGTGATAAAATAAACAATGCAGATTATCTGGAGTTATCAGGTGCTCCTATCTTGATAACCGTTTGATACAAGCATTCACCGAGCAGAAAGCAGGTTTTAAGTATGTGGCTGAATGAAATCGTGTCTCAGAACATGTTCATTGAAAGAGTGAACAAGCAAAGTTTAGAACTTGAGGTAAGTATTATAAAAAATAATAATACGGTAACTAGATCTTCAGTGTAGTGAACTGGCAGACAGCGACCTGTTATTTCGCAGGTACTATGAAAATACGATACGTGTCGCCACCGTGCAGGCGAAAACTATATTAGCTGATATATTTTGTAGAAAACGACTACTCCGCATACTAATGCCTCAGTAATAATCGTTCACGGACAGGTCACTCTCTGCCAGTTGTTCAAAACTTGAATAGCAGTGACCATTCATAAAAAGTAGCTTTATAGTACTGACGAGAATATGTTTGACATCGTTATATGTCTGTTGATTCTGCTGACGAATGATCCTAGCTTTTACCAGTCAGGGCACTAGTCAGCAGAGTAGTTATGGCCTGCAATATCACCAGTTAAAATTGATTTTCCTCACACAGTGGCGGAATATATCACGCGTTCGTAGTACCTGTGAATTAGCAGGTTGCTTTCTGCCAGTTTGGCGCCATTAAAAACTTAAGACGATTTTCATTATATCATTCTACGTCTGTCTCAAAAGAAGCTAGATCATTAAAAATTTTATTCTTGTATATGAAAACATTCTACATTATAAATTGATAAAATATCAGGAAAATTTTAAAGGGATGGTACCCAAAAGACCAAAGTGGCCATAAATCATGTAATAAAAAACGAAACAATCCTAATTCATTTAATTTATCTTCGATTTTGTTTGCTCTAAGGCTGCTCGGAACCGAAACAGCGAATTACTGAAAAAATCCCAACGCCTAGAGCAGGAGCAGAACAATTTAACCGACCTATTCACATCCAACCAGCTAGATGTGATTACGAAGAAGAATAATCTAAACGCGTTATTAGCGAACCTAAAGGAACAGAAAAGGTTAAATCTGATGGCAACGCAACGTTTAGAAATATGCAGGGAACAAATCAACCACATACAAGAGAACATCGAGCAAACGGTAAGTGGCATGAGCAAAATTCGTTTGAAGTAAAATTTTTGTCGATCGAATCACCTTTATCTTTAGAATGGCGGAATGTTCGATTCCGTGACGGAACTGAAACCGATAAAAGAAAAATTGTCATTCAAATGGGACGTTGTGGAGTGTCTACAGCAAAAACTCGTCGAAACCAGGCTTCAAAACGCTGAAAAAGAAGCGATTATAATAGAACTGAGGCTGTGCGAACACGATTTAAAAAACGAAGTTGAGCTACTTAAGGAGGACGAAAAAGAAACGCTACCCATCAACAAGTTGCAGGAGCAATTCCTGGCAGCTAGGTTACGAGACGCGGACGTAGTTTTAGAATTCGATAAACTTAAGAGAAGCCTCGCTGCTATTAAACATGAGTTGGAAGAAAAGAGAACGGTATTCAGATGTCTCGTATTTGGATATACATATTTCATAAAGTAACGTTTTCCAGGAGACAGAATTAGAAATGAAGAGAGAAAACCAGGATCCGTTTCATATTCATTTCAACTTACGGGACAAGTACCACGAACAAATTAAATTCGAAGAAAATGAATCGATTGCCAGGACGGTTGAATTTCAAGACGAGATAGACTATTTGAAGATGCAGGTGCGATGGTAAAAATTTAAAGCAAAATAATTTACTACCACTTTTTCAGATAAAAAAGTTAGAACACATTAAACAGGACATCATTGCACGGGTTCATTTCAATGAAGAGGTAAAGGTTCACTTGCACGAAGTGAAAACGAGTATTTTCGTTAGATTACAGAAGACCAGCGTAGAACTGGAGAAAATTATTGAGAAAAACAGAAAACTTGAAGAGAAAATGACTAGCGACTTATCTGACATCCAACATAATATAGACGATAAGGACACTTTGATTTCACAACTGGCGCAAGATATCAAGGAACTACAGTTACGTGTAGGTATTTACACAACCACAATTTTTCTTCATACAGTCTTCATAAATGATTCTAAGCCACGTGATCGCCCAGCACGGCTGGTAGTGTCTACTAAAAATACGTAAATCTTGGCATCGGCAATATTAATGATTCGTTTACAATGAACAATGACAAACTGTTACGTTTATGCTCGCTGCAATCGCTGATTGGTTGAATAAAATCTCAAACAAAATATTAGTCACGTGGCTTGCAATCATTTATGAAGGCTATTGTGTTTTGAGTGTCATAAAATTTCCTAAAAAATTATTTGATATTTGGCAACAACTTCCTTAATTTCATGTTAAAATTTCGGAAGAGGTGATTTCGATTTTTTAAAATATACATGTTTTTTTCAGAACGACAAATCTGCCAAGTATAATGATGAGTCGATGGCCAGCATAACTGATATTACTATAAATAAATTACAAGAGGAAATTGAATTCCTCGAAGAAAAAATTAGAACGCTAACAATTCCATAAAAAATTATTTACATTAATCTTCTATCATTTATTAATATTGCACAAGAGATAATAAAATCATTCTTAGATAACATATTTTTGTTGTAAAATATTGTCTTTTGCACCTCATAAATTAAAACTGCTATTCCATGGATAATATTGTTATACTGTGGTCTAAGTATCTGATCGCTGTCATTGCACTTCCTTAGCCTGAGCTAGGAATCTTTGACATGCCCTCGTTGTTTTCGGTCTAGGCTCTATGGGGGCCGACCCGCTGTCCGAAAACCTAGACTCGTCCTCATGTTAATTTTGGTTCCTGTAGTTCTAAAGCCCCTCTATAGCGGCTTTAGCGAGTCGGTCTATATGGACCCATTCGCCAGACAATGGCGGTCCTCTGGGACAATCTGTAACTAGTTACTTCCTTTGCTTCCAAACTTCTCGATATTTGGGAGGCTAAAGATGTGCAATGTGTCTGTAATTGGCGGTGATCAAGTACATAGAAACTGATACTGACCAAAGTTTTAGAACTTTCAATTTCAAAGCCAATACTTGCAAGAAATAATTGGATGTTACATTTTGGAGATACAAACCAAACACGTGTTTTAAATAAGATTACAGTGATCTCTAAACTAATGCAAAAAATGAAAGGGTCAAAAGAATTTCCGAAATTTTTTCGTGATTTTTGACAGACTGTACTTAGGTGAAAAATGCTCGTACCGGGAATTAAAAAAAAGTATTTTGAAGCTCTAAGATTATAGTTTTTAGATCTTTTGTTCGAAATTTTTTAGGAGCTATGGTTATCATACAATTCTAAAAAATAGGACGACAAATTTTCTACGGACTTGGAAAATTTTTTTTCAGCTAAGTCATTGCATGGACCAGATAGTTTGTTTATTCAGCTTCAATTTCCTTTTATTTTAAATTTCGATATGACCATTTTTCATCGAAATATCGTACTTTTAACGGAAAAGGATCCTTTTGTTTTCAATCATCGATATCTCGCGACAAATGGTCGTATAGACAATTGAAGGACATTTTCGAAAACCGGAATAAATGTCTTATAATATGCTGCTGCAACTTTTCGGAAAAAAATGTTTTCCATCTTTTACACGAATTTTAAAAAACAGGAAAAACATGTAATTTATGGTTTTTTAGAAAATTGATGGCTAAATGACTAATGTTAAGCATGACAGTTCGATATACCCAAAAGAACCCTGTGAAGTTTCATCTCGATTTAGTGAACCGTTTTTTTTTGTTTCAAACAAACTTTTGAAAAAAATTAAAGGGTCACGTTTTTGAGCTTAAATACTTCATAATCATGATTAAAGGAAAATATTTATTTTATTTGAAGTTTTCTCACATTTTTACCGCAAATAACGTTTAAATTAATGAAAAAATAATTTGTTTTGAAATTTTTTTTTCAGAGAAAGAGTAGTTTTGAAAAAAACTGTTTTTTAAGTGATTACAGACTGCACAAAAATTAATTACAAATTTGTCTCAAAAAACGGTATGAATCGGGGTCAAAACCTGCCAACCAACTTTAATTTTAATTTAATTAAAAGTTGATAAACGAAAAAGAAGCCGAATCGTGCTTGAAACAATTGAATTTTGTTTTCTTCATGCCCGGAAGGTTCCATAAATACAAAAAAAAAACTTCGAAAAATTTTGAATTTTTTTTTTTTCATCTATTTAAACATTTGCTGTAAAAATATGAAAAAACCGAAAAAAAAAAATTTCCCATTTTAATCATGATTATAGTGTTTAAGCTCAAAAAAAGTGACCCTTTAATTTTTTTTTAAAGTTTTACTGTTTGAAACAAAGAAACGGTTAGTTAGATCGAGATGAAACTTCACAGGGTTCTTCTGGGTACATCGAACTGTCAAAGTCATGATTAACGCTAGTCATTTCGTGAATATTTCTAATTTAGCCGTATATTTACTAAAAAACCACAAATTACCATTTTTTTTTCTTGTTTTTTAAATTTCAAGTAAAAGATGAGAAAAAATTTTTTCGGAAAAGTTGCGGCAGCATGTTAGAAAATTTATTGCAGTTTTCGAAACTGTCCTTCAATTCTCTGTAGGACCATTTGTCGCCAAGATATCGATGATTGAAGACAAAAGGATCCTTTTCCATTAAAAGTCTGATATATCAATGAAAAATGGCCGTATCGAAATTAAAAAAAAAGGAAATTGAAGCTGAATAAACAAGCGCCTAGCTGAAAAAAAATTTTCCATGTCCAAAGTTTCCAAAAGAAGTCCATAGACTCAAGAAAAAAAAGAAAATGTGCAAAATTTTTTTGTCGCGCTATTAGAATTGCATGATAACTGTAGCTTCTAAAAAATTTCGTCCGAAAGATTTAAAAACTAGAATCTTAGAGCTTCAAAATGCCTTTTTTTAATTCCCGGTAGGACCATTTTTCACCTAAATACAGTCTCAAAAATCACAGAAAAATTTCGGAAATTCTATAAAGTATGTCATTACTACAAAACAATGTTTTGTACCTACTGGCAGAGAGTGACCTGCTGATATGAAAGCTTGACACACTAGGTGAAACTGGAAACAACTTCAGTCTTTCCATTTCGTTCTAAGTACGAAAGTGAAAGATAAATCCATCGAATGTCGTTATAACCTCATTGTTGGGTTATTTATCTCAGTGGGCTTTGCCTTTTGTGCATAGGTAAGTTGATTAAATTGACATATTTCGAACAAAGGAATCTCTAAAGTTGTACACATGTTTTTCAACCACCCTGTATAATGATTCTATTAATATATTTTTTTGAATCTTTTTTGGTGCATTTACAATGCGTGGTGATTTATTAATACTCTTAGCAAAAATTTTGGCACATAGCACTTACGTTACATAACTACCTAGCTATTTATAAAAATGTTCCGTAAATATTAATGCTGAAAGTATTTTTCCTAGAATTATAAACTTCCTCGCATTCTAAACTTGAAAAGTTACGTTACAGCCATGATCGGCGTCAACAATTTGTTTTTTAATAGAGAATTTGGTTTTATCGGAAAGAAGCGACACTAAAACAAATTCATCAAATAATGATTGAGGTTAAGTGAATAAAAGCCACACTCGATGTTTTTGTTTTTTATTTTTTTACCATCAAAGCCTTGATGATACAAATTTAAAATATTTTTATCAACAGGTAACGGAATTGTTACTTAGTTACGTAGTGCTTTATAACTTAAATAACAATAGATTGGCGATCCGCACAACTTAAACAGTAATAAATACCTACAAAGAACTGAGTCATACTTCTACTTGTTGTTGAAAGAGTCCATTTTCGGCCCCGGGTTCGTTCACTTAGTCATAATTTAAAATAAATTAAATGTACACCTATATACAATGTGGCCTCGAGTTGTGCCCCTCAGAATGCTGTAGAGGATGGGAGTCAGCGAAAACCAAAGACGTGGGACCCTTGAACGGGTTAATCCCACCCGGAATGATCAGGCTGGGAGGGACACAACTTGAGGCGATTGCTTGTTGAATTTGACTAAAAAGTTCCCTAAGGAAGTCGACTGGAGTGTTGTATCAATGCACGACAGGAGCAGCGGTGGAAATTAAACGATAACCTTCTTAATTTCGTCATACATGACGAGTACGATGGCGCCACCGGTACCACGGAGAATGTTAGAGAACGCACCCTTGAAGAAGGCGGCACCACCTTCAGTCTTAGCGATCGTGGCCCAGCAGTGAGCAGTGTTCTTGTAGACGATTTCTGTCTTCTTACGTCCGGACTGCATCATCATACGCCTACGCACGGTGTCGAAGGGATATGAAATGATACCGGCGACAGTGGTGACGGTCTGTAACAGAAAATAGTGGGTGAAGTCCTCCGGGGACAAAATAATGATATTAAATCGGGGTCAAAGTACATACCTGAGCAATAGCCCAAGAAATGACGATCGGTGTGTTCTTGGGATCGGGCAAGATACCCTTGGCGGTGTCATAGAAGCCGAAGAAGGCGGCACGATAGATGATGATACCTTGTACGGACACTCCAAAGCCACGGTACAAACCAACAAGACCATCAGATTTGAAGATCTTTACAAGGCAGTTACCTAATCCTGTGAATTCTCTTTCTGCTCCAGCTTTGCCTACATCGGCAGCCAACCTAAAAAAAGAAAAATAAGGTAAGTAAAAATATTCTAGAGCATTGTACTGGAGAGTAGCGCGATTTTGTATCATTTTTGACACGTTTCTTGTTATAACGTGTTTGGTTTTTTGTTTAAATGTTTTCAATATGAACTACGTACAATTGTAATCTTTTATGTATTGCTTGCAATGGTCAGAGATAAAAAAATGTTCCTTTACCCTTTACAATCACGTATCAATAGTTTATTTTGTCAAATTCCATGATAAACTATTTTTTTAACCTTTTTTTTAAGTAATTTTCGTACCTCGCCTCTGGACAAGCTAATGTAACCTCAAATAATAGAGTGAGTGAATGTCCACCAGTTACTTAACAAGTAACCTAAATGAAATACACAAAAATACATAGTCTGTTTACTCACATAAATTTCTCTGGATTTGTTCCAGTCCTATATTGTATTGGCATTCAAAGCTCTTATAATCTCTTAAATGTGTAACCTGTCACTTTTAACTATGTGGATCTCGGGATACGGAGTTCGTTTGGAATTTAATAACGAATTGTTTTCTGTTTAATAATTTAACTTCAATTTCATAGTTAGACCGTTGACCTACACTATCTCTCTCCGCATTCACTGTAGGTTGTCAACAATTCATGTATGAATATTACAGTGGTGGCGAACACAAGAATTAAAGTGTATTTTAAAAAACAAATTATAAACCGACTGATTTAATTAAAAAAAAAAATCAGAATCGTATTAGGGGGGGGAATGTATTATTACCCCTAAAAAATTGACCTCCACTTAAAGTTACATTCTGTACAGTGTCCTCTACTAACTATATTTTAAATCATTTCTTTGGACAAAACTCCTTGTGTACGTTTATCTATAAAACCACATTCTAGCAATTATAGAGAATATAAGGGACCAAAAACGGTTTTGAAAAATACATATTTATTTAATGTAAGGCTCGTGATCAATAAAAACTAGTAAATATAGTAAAACAAGTGTATTGGGCATGTCTTTCTTCAATATGGACAAATCAGGTTTCTGGAAATATACGCAAGTTTTCTTTTTTTTTCGGTACACTTCGGCTGAAGCCGACCCTGGCATAATCATCACGTAGAAAAAATATAATGCCATTAAGATCCAATTCCAATTTTGTTTGAGCCCGTGCGGGTAAAAAATATATAATTTTTTGCTCTAATTTTCATTGAGCACTGAAACACATTCATCTATGACGTCTGTATGAGTTTATTTTTAAACAGCGTGCTTCGGTTATTTTAGTACTGTTATAATAAGTGTTCTACGTGTTACACTAGAATCCGCCAATGTGGATTCCTACATTGATTATTTAATCGTAAGTACTGGTTCGACGCCATTCTTATCTCTTTCAATTATTATTACATTGCAAACGATGGTGATAATTTCACTATAACTGGTTTCATCTGCCAGCAAAGTGATAATAATTATCTGGAACGTGCATTTTTACAACAAAATGATTTATCCTTCTTTAGTTTACCTGTTAGTTAAATCACATAATAAAAATATCTTGATATAAAGATATGATTCGGAATCGGAATTAGCTTAAAATTGTATTAAAATGTCATTTAAATGCTCACAAAAGTATGAAAGATATAAAACAAAATGTTTATACATATTTTTAATTAAAAATAAATAGCGCCAATATGGTGTCACTCATTCAAGGACAAACGAATGTTGAAACTAAAATTCGGAGAACGTAATTTATCAGAGATAACTCGATTTTAACATCGACAAAGTGTAATATTAAACTGTATGAAATCGTTAAATATTATTGCTTTCTATTTATAAAATCTTGCAAAAAGTAAAACTAACTTGAATTGATTTAATTCTATTATTCCAATTAAAAACAAATTGATTACGTACGTTTTCAAAATTATTAACAACCCGGGTTACCTAGAGCCGGCTCTGAGGTAATCGGTACCATTGTAGTAACAGTTGAAAGTTATCAAGTGACATTGCCTTCAATTTCACCTTGTACTTTAAGGTTACAAGAACTACAAAAACATAACAATTGCGCGCGCTTTGCCAGAACAGTTGGCACGTGTAGTTATTTATTAGTAGGCTAGCGATAAATCCTTTAAAATTACTTTTACCCGCGTTACATAACGAAAAAATTGCAATAATATATTTTTTAAATGTATTAGTAGTACCATTTAAATATCTACCTCTCGTTTCTAACACTGAAATGAATAACGTATCCATAACAGACAAAGTAACGTAATTAGCGAGCAATAAATTGTATATACAGGGTGTACCATTGAAAACTTTGCACCCGGATTATTTTGAACTACGTACCAAAATATTAAAATACCGCGACACGTCAATTTTGTTTTCAAGGGGGACATATTTTAGAGTTAAATACAGACTATCCAGAACAACCCCCTTCGCGGGGGCGCATTCAGCTTTAGATTCCTAAATGGCACTCTAGGTCGAGTGACACCTCATTCGAAAGTGTTTTTTTCAATTTTAATTCATCTGCTGTTGAAAAAAAAATTACTTATGCTTAGAAATAAAAGACAATTTTGTATTAATCATTTAATAAATTGTTCAAAATGCCAAAGGGAAAACTATAAAAAGTTTCAATTTATTTTCACTGTAAAAACTACAAATAAAGGTATTTCGAATAATGAAAAAAAAAATTGGTACTGATAACAAATTTACCAGTCAATATATTTCAGTCGCTATTCAGTTCTCAAAGAAAAGTGTTTAGCAGAAGTGTGTTTAGTAATTATTAATTCTAAAAATGACTGATGACGAAAGGGTTGAAATAATTTCTCTCTATTTTAAAAACAATGATAATGCACAGCTTACGGCTAGAATTTTTAATCAGTGTCAAGCAAATAAACGCACCTCCGATGTTTACGTCGCCAGTTTGGTTCAAAAGTTCCGTGAAACAGGATTAGTGGAAAATAAAAAACTACTATTGAAACTTTTTATAGTTTTCCCTTTGGCATTTTGACAATTAATTAAATGTCTTTGTCTTTTATACAAGTAATTTTTTTTTCAACAACAGGTGAACTAAAATTGAAAAAAATTACATGATGACAACCAGAATTAAAAACACTTTCGAATGAGGTGTCACTCGACCTAGAGTGCCATTTAAGATTCTAAAGTTGAATGCGCCCCCGTGAAGGGGGTTGTTCTGGCGAGTCTGTATTTAATGCTAAAATGTGTCCCCCTCGAAAACAAAATTGACGTGTCGCGGCAATTTTAATATTTTGGAACGTAGTTCAAAATAAGCCGGGTGCAAAGTTTTCAATGGTACACCCTGTATGTAGGATTGAACGGTGCAAACTCCAAGTCAGTTACAGAGAAAAATATATTGGAGATTTCCAGAAAATACTGGTATACATTATGTGCATTTGTTTTAATGGGGCCAATTATATCCAATATACCAAGTGCTCGTTTTCCGAACTGCACAATGAAGATCTCGGTTATCTTAAGAAAAAAATGCGAGATATAACCATGAAAACAATTTTGACCCAGGTTCTATCGTTTGGGATTAATAAACAAACTGAAAATATCGGTTTTCCTTTTTACTTTTGTAATCGAAAACTGATGGAGGTCGACTTTTTAAATTCAACTCAACAACTGGATTATATTGGATTTTCACATTTTTAAAATAATATTATATTGTAGGTCAGCAAGTTGCTACGATCGTTATCGATTGCTTACGGGTCTGCAAGTTATTCTCACAATGAGACTAGAACTTTTATCATACAGCGATATTTTGAAAATTTGAAGATCGTTCTCAATTTTTTCTGCTACTGTATTAAATGCCCTGTTTCATTCAATTTTTCATCAAAATGAATCTAATCAGAATTAATTATATTTTCTCCCAAAAACAGTATTTCCTATTTTTTTTTTATGATATCCTTGAACACTACTATATATCATTCTACATTAAAAGTAAAATTCTGACAGGAATAATTACGTTTGCTATTTCTGTTATAGCATTACTTGGCAAAAACAGTCCGTGGCCTTGCTTCGATCCGACCTTTGTACTGAATTCAAGGCATTATGCAGAGTACCGATGACGATACCTAACTCACAAAAATACGCACTCAAACCTAATTTAAAAACTCGATTAAGTCTCGTGATTTTTTGGGAAGGATTTAAAAGCGTCAGCAATGGGTTTCGGCTGACGCAGAAGTCTTATTTTTCATAACACATAACATTTGTCACTCCCATAATTAAAAAGACAATAATATATATTTTTTACAACAAGGCAGGTTCAAAGTACTAAAGACTTAATGCCATGATTATGCATTTATTAATATTAATTTAAATTGCATCGTTAAAATAAGTAAAATATCGTTTTGTCTTACCTGGTTCTGGCGAAATCGAGAGGGTATACGAAGCAGAGCGACGTCGCACCAGCGGCACCACCAGAAGCCAAGTTGCCCAAGAAGTAACGCCAGAACTGGGTCTTCTTGTCGACTCCGCTCAAGAAGACCTGCTTGTACTTGTCCTTGAAGGCGAAGTTGAGGGCCTGGGTGGGAAAGTACCTGATGACGTTGGCGGTGTTACCACGCCAGTAAGCCAAAACTCCTTGTTCTTTGGGAATGCGGATGAAACAGTCTACCATACCTGAGGGACGAAATTCAGCGTTATCGTTTTGTAAAATGGGGTACACTATAATACCTTATTATTAACTTCGCAACAATAAATAATTTAATAACCTCAGTTTTGCAATGTTTACATGTCTCACAAGACGAGGACGAAATCTAGCTACCCGAAAATTACGTCAAAGAAACAAAAGCGCAATAGATTGAGTTTCCGTTGGTTTCCATTTCATCATTTTCAGTCACCACACCCACGCGATATCAAACGAAGTCGGTAGTATGGTGGTTATGTGATGCATACGAGTTTAAATTCGGTAATTGTGATTAATTAATAAACGTATTTATTTTCTTCGTAAATAAGTGACAATAAATGAAATGTGTTAAAGTTGTCTAGTGAGTGACAAATTAAAAATACTTCGTGTGCCCCGACATCCAAGAACTTGTCAGTGACTGCTGCACATTTCTTCAGCTCAATAAACGGTAAGTCGAACCAATTTCATCTATTAGTTTATATATCCAAGATCCAAGACGTGAAATTCATAGCCAGTGTAATTAAATTGCAAATAGATTATGAATTTTATTATTTATGTTTGGACTTTGATTATACCTACTCTATGACGTAATAAAGAAAAAAGGTATGAAATTTAATTTACAGTTTTTAGTCACTGTATCGACACATACACGTGCCGTAAGTTATTTGATCAGAATAGTTTTGTCACAGATATTGGGTACTCTGTGGTTTTGTTGTATACACAGTAGTAACATTAGACAGATTTGGTACAATAATAATATCCTGCTGATTGAATGGAGCAAAACATACTATCTAATTATTTTGGCTATTGCAAAAAGTAGCACCTACACCTTAATATCTGCAAATTGTAAATAAAATTCCTTTTATTAAAGTTCATAATCATTTGCTTAATTATGCAAGTATGTATTATAATTATGCTTTCTGGAGCATATTAGTGTATTACGTGTTTTTTTTTTGGTGCATATTAATATTAATAAACATTATTTTTCCTAAAAATTCATTAATAATAGTATATTATGTTATTAGGAGTAGAAGGCGATCATTATGTGTTGAGCCCAAAAGTTTGCTCGCCGAGGCGTTAGCCGAGGCTGAGCAAATTGGGCAAAACACATAATGAGCCTTCCACTCCGAGTGACATATACTATTTTTTCTTCAAGCGTGAATATAAAAAATTACTAATTTTGAAAATTTATAGCGGATAACGCGATGTTCAATCTCAGCACAAAATAAAATCAGTAGGTAGGTAATACTATTTATTTTATACATTTTATACATTTTATTGATTAATTAAACATGACAGTTTTAACCACTTTATTCATGAATAAAAAAACAAATGTAACAATTATTTTTCTTTAATTTGAATTAAACGAATAAACATCTAAATTACCTACATGTCTATCATCAAACTTTATTTATTAACATGAATATTAAATGTGCAATTTTGTATGGTACAGTTGTTGATATTTAAAGCGCTGCTGGCTGTCTTTTTTTCAAAGTTTACAGTTCTGTCGTTGAATACGTTACTTGTAATAAGGTTCTCAGTTTCAGTGTTAACAATTGTACCATTATTAACAGAAAAGTCTTCGATTAAATTATTTTCAGGATCAATATTTACAGTTTCGCTTGATGTACTTGGTTCATTATACTCTAATGGGTTTAATATTTTCATCGCTATCTGTTTCTTATTGTTTACAGAATCTTCAATGTATCCTTCAGCGACGCTGGTAGATTTCCATCCACCATGTCGCTTTAGGGTTGTAATGTCTCCACCATTATCAACTAAGATAGTTGCCGAGGTTCTTCTAAGGCAATGCCCCGTATATTCATGTGGATTTGGCAACCTTAAAAATGATGCAACATCTTTTGGCACTTTTGAAATTTTATGTATGCCCATTACAACACGATGACAATGGCCATTTTGATATTTAATAAAAAATCTATCAAAAGTTATGTCTTTTGGCCGAAGAGTAGCATATTTTCTGTATAAATTTAAATAAAACTCTCCAATTATGGTAAATGAACGATGTTTTTTAGTTTTTGTATTGGGAATATTTACTAATATTATATTTCCCAAATCTTTTACATCATTAACTTTTACTTGAATGAGTTCATCGCATCTACAAGCTCCTGTGACTCCAAATATTAGTGCAACCTAAAAAATATAGAATTATTAATTTTGTAACAATAAAAAAAGTTGGAAAATGCAAGGAAATTCTAAAACATGACGTAATTTTAAGACATCTATATTTATGAGTTTTTACAACATTCTTCCAATGAGCTATCTTTATTTCCGAAAATTGTTTATTATTCTCGTAATGGATACTATAAAATAACTTGAAGTTTACAAATTATAACAAAATTTTGTATTACAAATATAAAAAGGTTAAATATATATCTACCTATAATTTAAAAAGTACATACCTTGGTTGCTAAATATTTATCATCAGGTGCTTTATTCAGGAATTCGTCAAATTCTTTTTTAGACAAAACTTTCGACTTTTTTGGTTTATAATTTTCACCTTGTCGTTTCAAAAATGTAATTAATTTTGAATATTTCTCAATATTTACATTGTGTTCTATGTTTAATTTAGATTTTACCATTGAATATTGCGCCCATAAAGTTGAACTTTTCAGTGTTCTGGATAATCTTGTAAAATATGCTATCATCACATTTTCTGAATAAATATGTGCATTATTTTCTTTTGCCCAATTTATGAATTTATCATAAGCATTTTCATAAATTTTTCTCGACTTTGTTGGTATAAGTGTTGCCACTGATGTATTTGCAATTTCCAGTAATTCTGGTGGTGTGCACTGCATTTCTTCAGACATTTTAAAAACGACCCGACGCGACATCAAATTTCAACTGACACTTAATGAAACGTCAAAGCTTCTTGAATCTTTAATTCGTTGCTAGGATACTTACCTACACATTGTTACATTTTTTTACTAGTTAAAAAATGAAAAATATTTGTACTAGTTAAACAATATGCTGCTTCTAAAGGAGGTGTTGCACTATATAATATAAGTATTATTATACGCTTGAAGAAAAAAAGCATTCATTCATTCCGTTGGCAAGCCGCATCTGAGAAATTCTATTTTTACCATGACTTTTTTTTATCAGTCTGTGAATCACTTACATGCTTATTGACTTTGATAAGTAAAAAGTGAGAATATACAGGCTGTCTTACGGTGATGGCCCATTAGAATTATTTCAGAGACTACTTCGATTTGAATTTTGAAAATTTGTACCCCGGGGTTTTCGGGGTGCTCTCTTAAAAAAAAATAATGCCATTGTTGTAGCACTTCCGGTTACACCGGAAGTCGCCTCTACTTTTTTATTTTAAATGGAACACCCTGTATATCATTGCATTATCGACGAGATAAAATAAAAATACCTCACGTGTTAAAGCTTCCCTGTACCTAAATCTAAGCGTTTTTGAGATAACCGACATTTTATAAAAATCTTGGCAGCTGCATGCGTTTCGAAAATTCCGTATATATTTCTTCGTTCTGGAAGCTTTTACTTGTTTTTAGGAACACACAAAGAGTATAAGATGTACTACCTTCCATTATCAAAATTACCTCGAAAATTACCTTAAGAAAATTATACCAAGTGAAGCATTTTTTACATTACATTTTGAAATCTTAAAACTGGCAAAACTTTTTAAATTCAAATGGAACACCCTGTAGTTTTTGCACCATATTACATTCTCAAGAATATTACGTTAAAAACATATATTAAAAAATAATGATTATAAGATCTTCCAATGGATTAGTAACCAAAATCATTTCATTAATCGTTCTTTTTCATTTGTAAAATGAATAACGTAAAAAATGATTCACTTGGTATAATTTTCTTCAGGTAATTTTGATAGTGGAAGATAATGCATCTTATGTTCTTTGTCTGTTCCAAAAACCAAGTGAAAGCTTCTAGAACAAAGAAAAATATAAGCAATTTTTGAAGCTCTTGCATCTGTCAAAATTTTTATAAAATGTCGATTATCTCGAAAACGGTCAGATTTAGGTACAGAGAAGTTTAATTTTTGACTTATTTTTAATTTGTCTTGTCGATAATGCAATAATATATAGGGTGTTCCATTTAAAATACGTAAGGAGATGGCGACTTCTGGTAAGTGTTACAAGTTACAATGGTATTATTTTATTTAAAAACAGCACCTCCAAAAATCCGAGGTCCCAGATTTTCAAAATTATCGAAGTAGTGTGAAATATTCTAATGGGCCGTCACCGTAAGACAGCCTGTATGCTTTTTTCTACTGTTCCTTTTTAATGGTTCCTGACGCGATACGTAATGTATAAATTATTATTTATCTTAACCCACTTATGTTGGAATTTACTTTTGTAATTCGTATCTAAAATAGCGCGATACGACGTCAAGTGCATTTTTTATCAAAAGCCAAAGTTAGTGTACAATTGTTTTATCGTTATTTATGCGCAGTTTAATGAGAAACATTATATTACGTAACCTAGTCTGAAGCTTTCTATAATATCGCGTAGATATAATTTTTTCTGGGAAGATAACTAGGCGTGGATCAAATTATCAAAATCAAAAGCTGCACGAGCAGTCACGAGTGTGATAACGATAACAATAGTAGATAATTACGTAAAATTAATAAGTGATAATAAAATGAGTAAAATAATTTATTCGCTTCGGGTCGTTTTACTGTTTCAATTTTTACGTTTATTTTCCTATTTATTTTTGTATATTCAATAAACAGTAATAATAACAGAAAATAGAGTTGTAGTAAAGTAAAATTTAATTATACAATTGATAATATTACAATAAAATAATGTATGAATATCAAACAATAAAATCGAAAATCAAATACTGGCATTGGAAAACTAACTACTCCATTGTCTAGATTCTAGATGCTTGTTAGTAATTTTATTTGTGTAGCACAAATTACTGACTTATGAATTCAACTAAAATGGTGTACAATTCATTAAAAATTATGTGAGAACAATCAATTGTTGCGTGGATATTTTACTCGGTGTTTTTCGACAAAATGCAGTCACTGAGGTCTACACCTACACGTTGACATCATTGTTTATTTTTCCTACATATTTTGTGTCATGTCCCTAAATTTTGTTATTTACTTTGTAAAACATGAGACGAGATGTTAAGTGACAAATGTTTACTGGAATAACATTCATATAAAAAACTTTTATAAAGGATACACTTACAACTTCAAAGATTTACAGACAGGGGATGCAACGGAAATAGCATGGCATTTTAATGTGTCACACACAGATGGATTTCCCGAGGCCTTTCTATACAAACTTACATACATTTATGATTGTGCAATTTTATTCAATTATTATTACATTGTTAACTTATTCTAAAAGTACATTTCAAGTTTTCGATTTTTCGAAACGTTGCAAACTTTTAACAGGAAGTGTACACATGTGACAGATAAGGTAATTTTTAATTTGGGACTAGATTTGTTTATGATGACAAATATTCAGAATATAAATTTTTTACTGATTTTAATACTTTTTAAGTGTATGACAAAATATATTTGATATATTGTAAAAATGTTCTTGTGTAAATTATCATTTGAAAAGTATTACGCGATCGGATTGTGCGCAAATTGCTATTATGTAACATAACAGCAACTATGAATGATAAATCGAGCGATAAACTTTATCTTTATCTCTGTCATTAAGTGAAGTTACGTAACTTAGGTGATTCTAGAGGTTAACACTAAGTGTCAGAAATTTCAGCGCGGTCTATTTATCTGTATTCGAATATCTGCGAAAGGGCGTTTTCGCACCGATTCTAATATTGCCAGCGAATTTAACTTTAACATGTCCGTTTTACGTAATCTCGCACGTGTCCTAGAGACACAGTTGGCAAGGTTTCTCATTGGTATCCAGTTCAATATCGACCCGTGATTCAGCGGCAGATCCCTGCGTTACCTTCGCTTCCATCAATAAGTTCAAAAGCCAATTCGAACTGGCCCGATGCAATTTCTATTGCGATGGGCGGTTGCCACAAGGTCGCACTCAATTAATCGTCCTTGGCTTTAGATTAATTCGCAGCGCGACATGATAGAATGAAAAAGAAATTAATTTACCACTGGAGATTACCGAGATAAGATAGCGATGGTTTTTAGGAATTCAAATCATGTGATCTTCTAATTTAACGAGGTTTTTTGGAAAAGTGTTATGTAACATCCGAAAAGGAACGGTTCTAAAATGGCTATCGCAGCGGGAGTTGCGCCGCGCGACCTTCCGTAACGCTAAAATCGACATTCGCACAAAACCCTCTTACCCTTATAGCGTTTGTCCTCTGCGATCTGCTTGGAGATGTGCTGGACTTGCAGGAGCAGCTTGACGCGTTCGATGGGGGCCACACATGTCTTGGAGATAGCGGCGGAGATGCCTCCGGCCAAGAAGTCCTTCAAGAAGGCAACGGGATCGGCGAGAGACATTCTGTTTCACGGGGTATTGTAGACTACTTGGTTGAAGTTGTGAACGGATCGCGCACTGAACTGCAAGTGACTTGGCGAGGGTGAGGCGGTGTCGAGAGCCGCGCGCGCCGGTCATGTGCTTTCCCAGGCGCTTCTGTCCAAGAATAGTGATCTACGTCACCGGGACGCTCGTCGGGCGCGATTGTTGGACGCAGGTTAGGTAACGCTTTGCGTACGTAAAATTTTATTCAGATTGGAAATACTCGCCGCGCAAATTTCTATCAACTCGCTCCGCTTAGGTGGTACTGACTACTTACAGCGTGAGCCAGGTAGACCAAAGTTTAAAAATTATCGCGCGGATTTATCGTTACGTGTGTGGTAGCCTTTAGCAATAGCCTCGTTTTGGAATTTAAAACGTTTTCGTCTGAGATTATTTCTTAGGAAGCACCCCGTATGCGCTTGTATTATGAATTCTGCGCTAAAATTACAAGGTGCACTAGAAAATTAGTGTCTTCTTCTAAGGCTTTCTGGAAATCCAAATGAGTCCTGGAATTGACATCCTCGGCTGGCTCTCCATGGATCGGCTCGAAGAATGCTTATACAGGACTCATTTGGATTTCCAGCAGGCCTTAGAAGAAGACATGGCGCCCAACATGGGGCCCTATTTTCGAAAATGGATCTGAATTTTTGTATGCTTTTTTGGGGAGATTCTGCTTTTTCTCAGAAAGATAAAAGAAAGTAACATAGTCATCACCAACTCGATTTTCGGAAAAAGTAGAATGGCGAAAACTGCATTTCCATGTCTTCGTCCAATATACTCTTTCAGTGCGACGTCACATATCTAGGCAACCCGCAACAAATTTTCATAGTTGAAATTGTACAGACCGAATCTGACCCTTGTGTACTATTTACATAGATACTATAAAAATGAACAACCTCAAATTAATTTATTTTTACAAGGATTTAGAAGTATTTAGGTCGGTCGATAGCCGCACGGTTTAAGGCGTCAGTCTTTTAATCGTGTGCAAATTTCTGCCCTGGTTCGATTCCCGCGGCCGGTAGACCGTAGATTAGCTATGCTTGTACGGAGGATTGGCACCCTCTGTGCAGGTATGGTAGGGTGGAAGTATGTTGGCTTGGGTCAATGTGAGAGATTGACACCGGTTGGCATTTGATCACCCCCCTAATTAATGAGGTTTTCCAGGTTTCCCTCATTCATGCACTGAATGGTGGTTAGGGCCTAAGTCGTTCCTGGGCGCAAATGCGGCCTGCCTAATAATAATATGCCGCCTCCTCTCCCGCACAAGTCTCCGACTTATGGGCTAATTCTCGTAATTAGAATGAGGAGTAGAGATATTATTATTACTATTATTATTATTATTATTTAAGAACAACCAATGCGTGTTTCGTAAAATAGATGATACACTAATGTGCTTAAAACTTACAAAAAGCGATAGGTATAAAAGAATATTCCTAAATTAAATAAATAAAATAAAAATTCAACAATAGCCGTGTTATTCCTAATGCTCATACTCGGAAAGAATAGCCTCATACACAGGTGAGATCTCGTTGATATGTTATCGCTGTCATCATCAGCATATTTTCTCTTCTTTTGTCTAATTTTGTCATTTTCTAGTTCTACTAAGTATTTGTATTGTATTTCTTGCTATTGTAACGTGTTTCTTCAAGTGGTTTATTATAGACGTACTTACTCTTAACCACAACCAAACTTTTCTTGAATGATATCCTGTTGCGAGGCTACCCTTACATGAAATTATCTTTATTGCGCTTGCTCAGTAATATTGATATAATTTTAATTTATTAATTACTATAAAAGTCAATATTGTTCTATAAATTATATAATTCTATAATTCTATTAGTTTGTCACTTGGGGTTTGAGACTTCTTAAATATTTCTAATATTACCAGAATATCGCGATATTTAAGGTCATGACAAAGAAGCCATTTTTTAACACTTATGTCCAAAGTACATAAGGTCGAAAATCGATCTAGTATAAATACTGTGAAATTCTTCAAGACAATGTGTACTAAGGGGTTGCCTATTATTTGGCGTATATGACGTCACTACTAAAAAGGGGCATTGTAAGAGATACAGACATGCTCCAATTTCGGTCGTTTTCTATGACGATCTGTAACTTATTTGTTTGTGAAAATATTTGATTTTTGTAAAGAGGATTTTTAAACTGCTTCTGCCGTAGAATGAATGGCACAACATTTGATAGCAAATTTTACGTGGGAATCCGAATATCGAAAAATATATAGTGTGTTTCATTGAAAATTTTGTATTGTAAGTCTCTCTATATATAGAAGTTGGTAATATCACTAGGTTCTGGAGTGGCTTCCGCCACTGGCTCGCTGTGCAGTGCATTTCGTTACGATCAGGCGCAAAGGTATTCTTGTAAATTTTAAAGGCTTTTCCATTATCCACAGTCCTCCGGGAAATAGGTCATGGCCTAATTTGCGATCGATATACCGTCGGTCAAAACATAGGCGGCTAATGGAAAATTTAAGAAGGGCGTGGTAAAAGCAATTTTTAAAAATAAATAAAATAAGGTTGTAGAGAGAGTACTATTTACTATTCTCGTATTTTGTTTTATTCCTATATATTGTTAGTTGACGTTGACGGCTAACAAACTGTCACTGTACTTATGTTAAGATTTTTGAGTAAAAACCTTGTATATACCCACTGTACCATCATATTCGTTAAATAAAACCTATATTGGTTTACAAGGTGCTTTAAACCTATTTAAGTAACCGTTATTAACAGGATTTCTTTAAAAATACACATATCTTTATACATTGAACTGAACTATATTATTGTACATTACACGGCCTTCTGAGATTAATCATTAATGCACGTTTCCAATTCATATTTCGTCAGGTTCTTGACACGTTTAAAAAAATATAATCTCAACTTACAAATTCACCAATTTTTATGCGTGATAAAAATAACACGCCTGTAACACTGAGATTAAGAAATGGTTTTAACATCTAGAGCAAGGGTCGGCAACTGGCGGACCGCGGTCCAGATCCGGACCGCGGAAGGTAAAATACTGGACCGCCAAAAATTTTTTGAAAGTATAAATTACTCAAATAAATTGTTTAAAAAAATGTTTTTTACGTTTAAGTGCCAATCTTATCATTTTTTCTAGTATTTTACAATTGTGTGAGTGTGTGAGTTCTTAATGGTTCTTCATCTTTATCTTCATCTAGTGGTTGGTCCTTTAAAAGTCCCATAGCACTGCGGCCTAATTAGGCCTATTGTGCGTCCCACTACTAGTCCTATTCAGCAAGTAGATTTGTCCTTTTTACAAAGTCCAAAAGCTTCCTTGCTGACGCTTCTCTCAGTTCCTTGGGTTCCAAATAGGGTCTCCCAAGGAGCGCCATTCTGCTACGTGCAAATCCCGGGCACTCGCCCAGGATATGCAGAGAAGTTTCATTCGCCGATTCACATCCTCGGCAGATCGGACTGTCTACAAGCTTTAGTTTATGTAGATGTTTCCTAAAGTGACAGTGTCCCGTTATGAGTCCTGTTACTCTCCTGAGCCGGATTCTATTCAAGCTCAGTAGCTCATTCGCTCTTCCCTTCGAAGGATAAGCTCCTTAGAATGGCTATGTCCTGGCCTTGAAGTCCAGTATTTCCTATGTTCTGTCTCTGTCCATTTGCCCAGAGCCCGCCTGACCACACTGGGAGATGTGCCACAGAAGGGCTCCGGGCCAATGAACACTGTCTCGGATCCCTTCCTAGCAAGTTCATCCGCTTTCTCATTTCCACAAATGCCTTTGTGCCCTGGCACCCAACACAGTCTGACTGTATTGATGGAGGCAAGTTCAGCCAGCATTTGTAAACAGTCCCACACCAGTTTTGAACTTACCTTATGTGCGGCTAAAGCTTTAATTGCAACTTGACTTAATCTTAATGGTTAGTAAGCAAATTAAATTTTTTTTGGACCTCGTTAAAAATTTTCAAAAGTATCCGGACCCTACCCAAAATTACTTGCCGACCCCTGATCTAGAGGATGTACTGCAAGTGATAGGGAAAGGTTATCATCAAAAATTGGCACGGATACGAAGTGCGTTATAGTTGATTGGATGATATAAACGTGATAAGGATACTTCTTTCTATTTATCTTTATTTATTGCAAAATATGTGTGTCTAATGTGATGTGAAATAATTTCTCAATAGAACATACGAGGTCTGTACAGAAAATAACCGAACTTTATTTTTTTTTAGCTTTATTATTAATTTTATACATTATTGGTCGTTGTCTCCTTCAAAGTACTGTTCTCCCTTACTCCACACGTTTCTCAGCAGTGTTTTCATTTCGTAGAACACACCTGGTTAGCTTCATTTCAAATGGCATTTAAAGTCTGTGACGAATTTGCTTTGGTGGCTGAAAACGGTGCCCTCCCAGCACTGATTTTAATTTCGGAAATAGGAAATCTGATTTTTGGCACAAAACTGAGGAAAATTGAGAACATTAGGACTGCGGGCGCATTGTCATGGTCCAAGAATCATGAGTTGTCTCGCCACAACTCTAGTCTCATTTTGCGGATTTTCTTGCGAGTCAGTGAGCATCACCTTAACATTGGATCGAAACTGCCGTGCTTTCTTGGGTCGTGAAAATCCTTTGCCAATCCATTGTGATGATTGAACTTTTGTCTATGTCGTTGCATGTGCAATTTTTCAATCAAATTTCATGGCGTGACCCAATCGAGGTGCTAACCTCTTCTGCAATCTTTTTAACAGTCAATCGGCGATTTGCACGCACCAGATCATTGACTTTCTGAACATGGAAGTCCAAGGCCTTCCTGGTTGAGGATCATCTTCAACTGACTGACGACCACTTTTAAACCATTCGTAACATTGTGTATGACCCAAAGTGTTATCACCGTAAGCTTGTTTGAAAAGTTGAAACGTTTCCGTGAATGTTTTCCCCAGTTTCAGTTTCAAGAACATGTTGTTACATAGGAGGTTATACACACCGCAATACTGCCAACTGCATATCACTAAATATCTCCATTAGCGCATAATTCAAAAAGTTCGGTTATTATCTGAACAGTTCTCGTATTTTCAAAGCTTAATTTTTGTTAGAAATTGAATTAAGTTTTACTGGGAAATTTTGGAAACTTTGTTATTGTAATTGACTAAACATATATAAAATCGTTATGTAAGAAATGGTAAAATATATCTGTAAGCTTTTCTTTTTCAGCTGCTATTAAATTATTTTTTTAATATCTATTGAATTTTCTAATTAAATTTAAAAAAAAGTTAGAATAACTCTAATTGTAAATGTGTTCAAAACATGTAGGTGTATAATTGCCCCTATTGTATTATATTTCTCTATGAAACTTTATGATTAATACTTTTCTATTCGAACATATTTTGTTCTCATTTTTTTAAATTAATTATGTTTGACGTACTGTGAGGTAAATTTATATCCTTTCATAATTCAAGCAAATATTGACTTAAATTACATTTAATACAGTAGTATTAACAGATAAGATACACCGTTGACGTTTCAATGTTAAAAATTATGAAAATGATTAGCATAAATAACATGTTGCAAAATAATAGATCTACGTCATAGGAGGCGTTCAGAAGAGATGGTAGAAGAGAGAATATTTCATCTTTTACTGTAAATATTACATTCTTATACAAATAAATAAACCGTTCAACCTTAAAAGTGTCGCTGACAGACATTGACATGGTGCCCTGCTCGAATTTTTTCTGGGTTAAGCCAGCCAACAGGTATCTACATATCCGTCGTAAAAATAGAGTGCGTTACAAACTTGACATTATCAAACGTAAACAAAGAGTTATTTCCTACCACCACGTGGCAAAATGGAGGCCGCAGTTAGCTTGTTACTAGATCAACGTTGGAATGGACTTAATTTTAGCCAGAAATGTCTTTGAATACATTCGTGCTCAATGTTTTTAAATTTGTGTTTTTGCAGAAGGCAGAATTGAATATCAATATGCAATATTTATGTACAATGAGGGAAACTCAGCGGCGGCTGGTGCGGGAGGCTCTGGATCATAATAAAAAAAAATAATTTGCAATTATCTTCATAATTAGATAGATTAACCCTATGAAACACATTAAAAAGGAAATGTTAAATTTGTAATGTGCAGTCACAACACGACTTGCAGAATTCGTTTACAAAACCGCCTCCGCATCTGTAAATTGTTTACAGCGGTGGTCATGGTTACTGTCATGTCATTTAAGTAAAAATGTTTTCAGTTCGTTTTACTCCAAAATCAGGCTTTTTTCGAGAAACATAAGAGAGTAGTAATTTGTAGAAAATTGAAAGATAAATTCGAAAATATCATGGTTATTACTGTAAAGCAGTGGAGTACTATTTTATTTAGAAAAATATGCCACCGATAGCATGTATCTCCGCCTCTGAAGCAAGTAAATTTTAGGAAAATCCCTCAGATTTTGGACAATGTTCACATAAATACATGTACCCAATTTCAAATCATTTATTTCACTTATTAGTTTTTAAATTATTTAAAAAAATTAAAAATATTTTTTTAAGCTGAACACCCTGTATCTTTTTAACGAATCGTCCTAGATAAAAATTTTATAGAAAAGACTCCCCTTAATAGTTACCAAACAATACGAGGTTTCATTTTTGGACACCATTTGTGAATCACCCTGTATAAATAAGAACAGCCTTAAATTTTGCATAACGCAAAACAAGTTAACTTTAACTTATGCGAAATTTATGCTAGGCAACCAGCTAAACAGTCGTTTTAAAATAATATTATACATGACATGAGCACGACAGATAAAACAACCAGCAATATCACTACATCTTTCCCGCGCAAAATTAAATTTGACCTTGCTAATGTCAGTTGGGTAGGAAAAGTCAGGGCTGTATTTGAAATATTTATAAGTTATTAATTTCCTTCAACAGAGTTGTAAACATTTGGGACTCAAAGTGTTCACTACAAAGTCTATAGTTTTTATAAATATCCAACTTGTCCAGTAAATCTTCCCGGTTGCTGGCTATTGCCCATGTCCTACTTCTGTATAAAATAAAATAAAACATCAATTTTTAGGCCAAGACTCATTTTGGTTGATTAAACTTATGGTTGGTTTATAAAAAAGTATTAGTCCTAACTTATCCGCAACTTAACCCTAATCTTAGTCGTAAAAAGTTAAATGTACAGAATGTAATCTATTGGTTTATATTAACCTTGCCCTACCTCTATACAGGGTGATTCAGAACTTATCCAAAAAAAAAAATTCTGGATGTACAGGGGACCCTTACAAATACAATTTTGTAAAGAAAAAATCAAAAAGGTCAGTTCGAAATTGATTTAAAAATACACTTCTGCACGGCACTGGAAACTGGTCCACTGTAAAACCTGACCTCGCACAATGCGNAAAAGTTTGTACATATGTCAGATTCTAAAATAATTTTTTCAAAATTTTTTTGGAAAATTATTTCCAAATTTGAAATAAAATCTACAAACTTGTCATGTGGATTGTGCAAATTTCCGAAGATATCACCATCAGCGTTTTTGTACGCTTTAAAATAAATATAAAGCGAAGAGTCGTCTAACTCTTCACGTGCCTTTGAATAATCTATGCAAACTACGGTAGTAGCCGAATACCCTGAAGATCCTTCCATTGTGGGAAATAGTGTTGGGGTTGCGTCTGAATTTAGTCGGCTCCGATCTTTATTCGCAAACATTTGGGACTCAAAGTGTTCACTACAAAGTCTATAGTTTTTATAAAGACTATCCAACTTGTCCAGTAAATCTTCCCGGTTGCTGGCTATTGCCCATGTCCTACTTCTGTATAAAAAAAATAAAACATCAATTTTTAGGCCAAGATTCATTTTGGTTGATTAAACTTATGGTTGGTTTATAAAAACGTATTAGTCCTAACTTATCCGTAACTTAATCCTAATCTTAGTCCTAAAAAGTTAAATGTACAGAATGTAATGTATTGGTTTATAAAAATCTTTTAACCTTGCCCTACCTCTATATATTATATTTTGTACATTTAACTTTTTAGGACTAAGATTAAGGTTAAGTTACGGCTAAGTTAGGACTAATACTTTTTTATAAACCAACCATTTTAGATAAGGATGTTATATGTAGGTTATAATGTCAATTTAATAATTGGTGTAAAAATTATAATCTTTTCACATTTTAGCACTACACATACCTTGTTGTATCAGCAGGAAATCTAAAGAAACTTTTCTTTGAATAATATCTCTGATTTCTACAACTTCTCACTGCACAAACACCATGACTCATTGTCTTATACACTGTTATACTTAAATAACAAATAACGTTAGTCTCACACTATGTCAGTACTACACCAAATTATAAACAACTACACAATTCAACAAATGCACACCTATGACTCTACTGCAACAGCAAAGTGAAATAAACTAAACTCGATTATAGACGCTACGACGCTACTGACAGCATTTTGACGGATTTCCTACCAAGAAATGTCATGCGCGAAAACGTGCGCAGATGTGAAAAAAGAGGATGTGTTATTGCTGGTTGTTTTATTTGCCGTGACATGAGATCGATGTGTGTAAAGTTGATTAGATCAAATTGTGTTGAGTCGTATTGGGAATAAATATAAGTGAAACATGAAAATAAATTTATTTTGAAATCGTTTAGAAATTTTTAGAACGTGTCGTATGGTTTAATGGCCATATCTTCATAAAGCTGGACCCACTTCCTGTAGGCATCGTCTTTGGGATTGCTCTTGATATCCATATCGACGCCAAAATCCAAATATTGGAAATTGGTCGCTCTCGCTTTGGGCCAAATGACTCGTTGTAGAAGACTCGATGGTTCTGGTGTTGGATGTCTGAAAAATAAAGAAACCAACCGTGTATCCGATGAACTTTGAAAAACTTTTGAAATACTTACAATGTCTTAGCAAAGTCTGTAAACAGCTTCAAGTACCGCCGAACTGTTAAAACGTCGGCGGGATCAGCTGAACTCAAGTCACTGTAGTTGCCAACAGCCCAAGTATACTTGGCGTCTTCTACGTGGTTGACTCTACCAGCACCTAAAGAGAGGTCGTTAATTGAACAGTTGTTGAATGTTGTGGGTTGTTTTACCTTCGACATACATGTCGTTTCCTCCTAGTTCCCCATGGTACGAGAATACGTAGAAGAAGACGTCGCTGTACTGCAATTGCAGTCTTGCGTGGTGGATGACGGGTCGAGAGAAGGATGTGTCGCTAAAATACTGGAAAAAAAGTATGAAGACGAAAAGGATCATGAGACTATATTTTCAATAACGTACCTTTACGGCTCCTGCTATGTCATCAAGGAAAGATCCATTAGTGTAGATTTGACGGATAGCTTCACCTGCAAGGGCTTTCATGCCGCTGCTTATAATATGCATGTCATCGTTGACCAATAGTCCAATGTCGTTCTCGAGTTGAGCAAGTTCTTCCTCGAAGCTGTCTAAATCTGTAACAAGAACATGGAAATCGTCAATATACAATCTTTGGTTGTAAATTTTGAAGACCAATTATCATGAAAGTGTTCATTATCTACATACTTTGAGCCTTGGACAGTTGTTCCTCAGACATCAGCCCCATCAGCATCGGCACTTGACTGACACTGCCGTCGGCAATAGCATCGTACATCCTTCTTGTGAGGAAAGCTCCTTCGTGGTCGGGTTCTACCACCGGAGTAAACCAGAATCCTTGGACAATTTGAGTACGTCCTACGCTCTCCTTCAACAACAAAAAAAATATCTCAATTGCTAATCAACATTAATGAATAAGACATGTACAATTGGACTCAAGCATCAGTCTCACTTACCTGGAATATACTGCTGGCTTCAGCAATTTGTTCAGTTGTAGCCTCTTGGAAGAGCTGCAACAGTTCTTCAGAGGTAGCATTAGGGCTGAGCGATGGATCGATGACTGCTGCCATCTGGTAGGCCATAGATTTGTGGTTTCTCTGGTATGACCAAGGGCATAAAGCCGAACCACTCGATGAGATGGCACCTCTGAAAAGTCCTGAAATAACATTGTTGAATTACATCTTGGTTTTCTGTAGTTAGATTAGACGGATATAACCTTTTATTTTTGACTTTGTGTAGTGTTTTCTAGATTATCCTTAGTTTAAATATTTATTTTCTATTGTCAAATTTACTTACCTTTCGATTGTGCGCTTAGCATGTGATAGGTTACTGATGCTCCACCAGCACTACCTCCAAATATCGTAACTTCATCGGGGTTACCTCCAAAGTATTTGACATTGTCCTGGACCCATTTCAGGCCTAGGTTCTGGTCCTTCAGGCCATAGTTTCCTGGTATAATCCGGTCTCCCGTCGACAGAAAACCTATACAGGATTTAATGAATTTATGTCAAAGGGGTGGAAAAGGAGGAAAAACTGAGATAACTGATGTAAAAAACTTGTACCGGAAGTTTAAGGTCATAGAGAAAAAAGCTAATTAAAAATGTGTTTAAAACTGTTTTGGAACTGCTGAAATACATGTATTTTATCTCGGCGAGTACTTACAAAAAATTCTGTAACAGTTTTTACAAGTTTGTGGGTTTCTTATGAAGCCAGACTGTATTCGAAAGTCATTGTTGTAGTGATTGCTGTGCTGTTTTTCGAGAGTACATTGTTTGTAAGGCCATAACTTGTAAACTATTCAACTTATCGATTCCAGATTTCGTGTGAGTTATTAAACAGTGATAAGGAATGAGAGGACGCGATGCCAAAACGTTCGAATAATAATAACACAGTTTATAAATGTTTAATTCAAAAGTCATAAATAAATTTCTTCTGTTTCTAACTTTTGATCTGCTCAATATTTTTTGACGCTCGAGGGCTAGTTTTGTAGGTCTTTTGAAGACGAAAAAAAAGTACCTTACTATTTTCTCGTGAAAATGAACGGAAAAAAGTTATAAACGAAAAACGTGAATTTACGTAAAAATTATACAATTAACCAGCCTGTAAACAATCTTCCCCCCATTTTTATGACGTTGAAAACTAATATGTTATTGTACATAATATTTAGCATCTATAGTGATAAATTCAGCTTGCCGAAACAAAAAGTCGCGAAATGGTCATTTTCCAGCTCTTTCCTGCCCTAAATCCTAGAATTTGAATCTTACCAAATGGCCCGACCCGATAATTGACAGTGACGACGACGACACCATATTCCATGAAATAATGGGGTCCTCGGGTTGTGAAGAGGGCATCACCACTAACGAATCCACCACCATGGATGTAGACTATCACAGGCAAAGAAGCACCCATGCTGGGTTCCTTGAAACATTTCAAAATATTCTTACATGGTAACAGTTTCAGGTGTTTGAGCAATTTTTAACATGTCCTATTTTTCTAAAATCCCTAGGTTCTGTTAATTCATGATATAATTTATTTTGACACAGTTTTACTTACTACCGGGGTATATACATTCACGTATAAGCAGTCTTCTGTCAGTACAGCATTTTCATTGCTAGTCCATTGGTAACATATTTTGTTGCTAACAGTTCCATCGAGCACGCCTTCCCAACTCTCTGCCGGTTCAGGCGCCTGTAAGGGTTAAGAAGGAAAATTTATTTATTATGCGTATTCACAGACAATAATTGGCTTGAAAATGTATCAACATAACAGTAATAACTAAAAAGCGGAGTAGGGATTCTTTGTCTAAACTGGCGTGTTAATTTAGACAAGGAAACCGAGTTTGTGAATTAAAATAGTATTACCATTGTGTTAAAGTCTGGGCTTGAAACTAAAAAGGCAGATATAAATAAAAATCAGAAAAATCACCTGGAATCGCAGCTTACCAACAGGGGGTTTAGCAAAGGGGATTTGTTGGAAAGCGTAAAAAGTTGCGCCTCTTGCTGACACTTCTTTTCTCCCTCTTACTGGTCCATTTGGTAGTGATACTAGAAATTCGTTAGCCCACTGTAAACAATTTGAATATAAGTTACTTACGTGACAAAACAGTGAATTAGGATTAAAAGTATTTTCTATTAAGAGAAGATTGTAAGGAAAAGTGGCGTTATTCTCTGACATGTACTTACTGCAGAATATATGATGAAGTGCAATGCCAGTAAAATAAATTTAGAATGCATTTTGAATACATATACAATACACTGCAGATGAAATTTCTAGGGTTAATAGTTATAGAAGTTTGATTAATCTGAAATAACAAAACAACTGATTGCTCACAAGTGGTTATTGTTATAAGAGATTATAATGTAGGTATATCTATGTTGCTAAATAAATAAAATTTGACAAGATGCTCCAATAACTTTAAAATACTTTGATTACAAATAATCCCGAACAGTTTTTCCATTGTTTAATATATTTTTAGATGAAACATGAATTAACGATGATCACCTGTTACTTATATCATTTATATATTTTCTAGCTATTAAAATTCTGGGAATTTTCGAAATATCTATTACTGAACAAGTCCTCCTGTTTTTTTTATTTCAAATGGACGATTTCTGATAGCTCGTATAATAATAATTAAAGTGGAAGGAGGAACATATCAAAGAATATACTGAATTTGATGCGGAATGTTCAAATCCCAGTATCTTATTTGTTAAAAAAGATAAATTGTCTACTTGTTAGATAATAATCATTGCAATTACAACAATTGAAAGAGACATAGGGAGCATTTCTGTCTACTTAGTAAAAACTAAGTGGATATTTTTTAGGTACTGATAATTCCAAGAAAAATATTAACCTTTAGAACCTATCTTGAACTTTATTTTTCTGTAACAAATAACAGTAATCTCAAGTGTTTCATGACTGCTGGAATGTTAACTTCATTTAATCTGATGCCTTTTAAAATTGTGTGATACGATTACAATTAACTAACGTGTTTCATAGTTTCTGAGATTTAGCTTTCGGAAAAATTAAATATTTACTTACTGTATCAAAAAACCATTAATTTTTTTTTATATTAGAAATATCTGTTATTAGTTTATACTCTATGGTGGGGTGTTAGTAAAGGCAGGAAACTCTGCAATGTTTTTCTTTTTATTAAATCGAATGTAACAAAATTTTACACTGTGGAGGATTTAGTAAGTGTCGTATGGTTTCACAGCTAAAGTTTCGTAAACTTCAACCCACTCTTTATAGTGGTCGCCCTTAGGATCAACTTGTATCGTCAAATCGTCATTTATGTCCAAGTATTGATAGTTGTCGGCCGATACCGTGGGCCAGATGACGTTCTGGAAGAGTTCTGACTCTTCTGGAGTTGGATTTCTGAAATTAGAAAATATCAGTAAATAGATCAGTGAATCAACCATATTTTTATCGTAATAAAACGAGGCTTTCTCTGAAAGGCTTCTGAGAGAAAGAAAAAGTTTAACTTGTGTTTTGTTTATGACAGATTGGCTAGGACAAAAGGACAAGTGGTTTTGTTATATTTTATTAGTTGCTTGGAGAATACTTACAGGTTTTTGGCGAAATTGGCGAATAGTGTGACGTATCTCTTAGTGGTCAAGATGTCTCGTGCGGTTCCCCACTGTTCTATGTTACCATTGTTATTGTAGCCCCACAAGTAAGCGTTGTCTTCGCCATGGGTGACGTTACCACAACCTGTTTTAAAAATTTGGAATAACGCACGGGAATTTTACTGTATTCGATTCGATTACCTGGAACAGTGGCATTGTAATAAGTTATCTGATCACCGTGGAACGAGAATTGGTAGAAGAAGACGTCGTTGAACTGGGAATGAAGTTTGGCGTGGTGGATAATGGGACGAGAGAATGAGGTGTCGCTGAAGTACTGCAAAGCATAAAGTAAATATATGGATCGCTTCAAATAACTAAAAATTTTGGTTTTTACACAGTTATCAGTCAAGCTCTGCAACAATGCTTCCCGAGTACCCTACCACGCAAGTAAATCGCTTTCCGAACACGGGCTATAAATATCATGTATTGTATATACAGGTTCGGAAAGTCCCCATGGTTTCTATGACTTACTTTATCGCTCTCACGTAACGGCCGATGAACCATGGGGACTTTCCGAACCTGTATATATTTTAATATTAGCTTACCTTTATGGCAGAAACTACATCGTCTTGGAATTGTTCAGTAGTATAAATCTGTTTAATTCTCTTGCCTATGACAGCTTTCGTCACATTATTTACTATGTGCATATTATCGTTGACCAGTGCTTCAGGTCTCAGGTCATATTGTTGAAGCTGGTACATCAGACCCTCCCAATCTGGAAAACAAATATGTCTCATATAAAGCTGGGTGCATATTTCTCCCAAGTTAGGTGATCTACTCACTTCAAGTTCACTTCGAAGTGATAATAGATCACCTAAAAGGAAAGCTTTTACTAATTTTAACCTATAAACTTATGTATGTATGTCTACTGTACTGTATTTTTGTACCTTCTGCCCTTTGAAGTTGCTCCTCGGACATAATTCCAATCATCAGGGGTACTGGGCTCGCCCCGCCAGCAGCTACAGCGTCGTACATCCTCTGGGTCAGGAATGCACCTTCATGATCGGGTTCTACTACAGGAGCGAACATGAAACCTTGGACTATCTGATCCCTTCCAATGTCCCACTGAAACGACACAAACAAACGATTATAATCGTTGTTCATATTCAACCTGCTTATTGGCAATTGCCATGAACCTACAGGGAACGTGTTGGTGGCGTCGAGGAGCTGTTCGGGTGTCTTCGATTGTAGGAAAGTCAAAAGTTCTTGAGATGTAGCGCTCGTGTTGAACGAGGAATCCAGGTAGGTAGCCATGTTGTAGGCGACGGCTTTGTAACCTCTCTGGTAAGCCCAAGGGCAAAGGGACGAACCGCTTTCTGATATGACACCTCTGAATAATCCTGCGGATTAGAGGAAGCCGATGAGAATCAAGAATCATAGTGATACAAACAATTTTCGTACCTTGCGATTGTTTGCTCAACATTTGAAGGGTGACAGATGCACCGCCCGCACTTAGCCCGAATATGGTTACTTTATCTGGATCACCTCCAAAGTACCTAATGTTCTCTTGCACCCATTTAAGACCCATACTTTGATCCTTTAAGCCCATGTTTCCGGGTAGAACTGTGTCGCCAGTTGACAGGAAACCTATTTAAAAAAGTTGATGTTAGATTGAAAGACAAAGGTATGACTTGAATATGAATTTCAAGTGTATAGGACTAACCAAATGGTCCAATCCTATAACTAACTGCGACAACAACAACGTCCTGTTCCATGAAGTACTGCGGTCCATAATATTGGAAGAGGGGATGACCAGTGAGGAAACCTCCTCCGTAGATGTAGTACATCACTGGTAGCTTAGCGTTGGTACCAGGTTCCTTGAAACGAAAGTCATTCTTTGCAAACTTGGAAAAATAATAATAATTTGACTTACCACCGGAGTGTAGACATTTACGTACAAGCAGTCCTCAGTTTGAGTTTGGGTGACGGTTGTTGTGCCCATTTGGTAGCAGAGTTTGTTGTTTTCTGTGGCATCCAACACTCCATCCCAAGGTTCAACAGCTACGGGAGGCTAAATATAAAGAAAAAGTGATAATTAAATGTACGAGGCGTACCAGTTCCTCACCTGGAACCTCAAACTTCCAACAGGTGGTTGTGCGTAGGGTATCTGTTGGAACGCATAGAATTCTTTTTGGCTGTAAGTTGTGTCCTTCCTTCCTTTGACTTCACCATTCTTTATCTTGATGGTAACCTCTTGAGCAAGCTGAAAGTAAAATAGTAGTTATATATTTTTTCCTAATTAGTAACTGGTCGAAAAAATAGTCTTTGACAATGTCGTTTCTCTTTATCTTATTACTTTGATTTGTATCAAATTGATTTTACTTACTCTTCATATCTAGATCTGCTTTATTGAGACTTATTTAAAATAAAGGCACGACAGTAGATACCTAGGTAAGAAGAAATATCTGTGCTTTGATGCCTATGAACTGTATTAAAGAAAATGAAAACCTGTTACCACGCAGTGAAAAGTTTTTTCAGTTTATTATGTAATAGAATTTTAAACTTAGATTACTTACTGCTGAAGCAATTATGGACGACACTAATAGAACAGTTTTCAGTATCATTTCGAAACGTGGAGTAAAATGATTATATTTTCGAAAAGTGACTCCTTTATATATATTTCGGTAATACAATAATAGTACTTCAATTAGTTTGAAGGATGTATATAAAAATTGAGATCGCTATCGAGCTGTGGTAAGAGAGTCAATTATATCAGTTAAATTTGCCGTATTAAATTTTTACGAACTAGTTTTATTCTTTATTAGTAGACTTTCTTCAGAGAAAAATTATTAGAATCATATTTGGCCTTGGTTTTAGAGATGACTGTAGAGAGCAGTTTTTTAAATTGAACATTCTAACTGTACCCTGTGCAGATATACTTCAATGTCTTATTTATGTCAAAAAACACATACATAACTTTGAAATCAGTAATGAGACACTCTTATAATACCCGAAAGAGCACATACTTATATAATAAATTTCTAAGACTTAGTAAAACGCGGGTCGGTACTAATTATTGGGCCATCAAGTATTTTAACAATACCTCTCCAAATTCAAAATTTTAATGAAAATAATTTTAAATCAAGGATAAAAAAATACTTAATAAAAAATGCCTTTTATAGTTTTGAAGATTTTATTGACAGTAATGTAGCTCGAATATCAATGTTATCATTAATCTTAGTATGTCGCTTATCCTATTTATTTTAATTATATGTTGTTTATGTATATTTGTATAACAGTTAGTTGATTGCTATCATTATGTGTATTGTTATTTACCACTTTCTTTTTTTTTTTTGGACGCGTGTAAACACTTGTATGTGTATGTAACACTAGCCTTTATAAATAGATAAATAAATTATTTATAATAATTATTGATCTCAGTTGTTTAGATTAAATAATAAGTCTGATTTTGATCTTGGAGGGACCACTTTTTTGTTTCTTGTAAGCAGTTTCATCTTAGACCAATAATACTTGGCAAAAATACAAAAAATAAAAATACGATATTCAGAAAGTACCTACTTGAATTGTCTGTCACGATGTAAAATTTATTCACTTACTTTAGTGATAATTTATCTTTACTGTACTTATAACAACCATGTTTCATTAGTTTTATCAGTATTGTTACATATAATTTTCGTTTTGTAAGATTTACCGATTATGAAAATATCGTCCAACATTTTAATTTTTGTTACTTATCTCAATAGCGAATGAAAAACATTAACTTCGTTACGAAAATTGTCAACAAATTATGTAGATACTGACATTCTTAGATCAAGATCAATATTTTTTTTAGAAACAGAGCCTAAAATATTTCCACTTTCTTCAATTTAACTACAAATTTTTTCTTTATCTTTTCCCAAAGGCCTATCTTCGTCTGTTACACAAAACGACAAAATTATTCGCCATGTTGCCGATATTATAATAATTAGAACATTAACAAATGCAGAATTTCTACAACCACACAAAAAATTAGTTTTTATATAAAATTGGAGGTATATTTTCCCCCTGACTGCGCCAATGTGTAAAAAGTTATAAAAACATATTTCAGTAAACATGTTTCTGTAAGATTATTAAATAAGGAAGAGCTATTAACACTTTTTAAAAACCATGCCCAAAGGCAATTATTGGTAAGCGTGGAGTTATTCAAACTGTAAACGGTTAATTTTCTATTAAATTAAATATTTGTTTGATTTTTTGTTGTAATTTGTTTTATTACACAATATCTGTGTCAATTTTCTAAATATTCAGCTTTGTTAATATTGTTTGGAAGTGTCGCATTTATATTTTCAACTTATTGTTCTTGTTATAGATGATATTACTAAGAGTAAAGTACATTAACAGTTTTTATTAAAATCTATACATTTTATAACAGATTAGAAGGTATCGTATGGTTTCACCGCCATGTTTTCGTAAAGATCCACCCATTTAGCGTAAACATCTCCTTTGGGATCGGTTTTTATTGCCAAATTGTCGTCGATGTCCAAATATTGGAAACTACTATCTGTCAGTTTGGGCCAGATGATGTTTTGCAAGACTTCATTTGCCTCGGGTGTAGGATTCCTGAAATTGGAATATCTTAGTCATTGAACGTTTTTGGGAATTGCAGTAGACGATTATTGTAGGGTGATATAAAAATGTGGGGTACATTTGTCATATCCATTCAAAACTAGGCGTCTTTACTTACAAATTCTTAGCAAAATTAGCGAATAACTTGACGTATCGTCTGGTGGTCAAAGCGTCACGGGCTGTACCCCATTGTTCTATGTTACCGTTGTTGCCGTATGCCCATAGGTAGGTGTTGTCTTCCCCGTGGTTGACTCTACCGCAACCTAAATAAAAATATTTAAATTATTCAATTTTAAAAACAAGCTCTTCCTAAGCACCTTCAACCTGGACGTTGTTCCACGTCACTATGTCGCCATGGTACGAAAACTGATAGAAGTAGACGTCGTTAAACTTAGAATGCAGCTTGGCATGGTGCATCACAGCACGGGAGAAAGACATATCACTGAAGTACTGAAAGAAATAAATACAACTTACAATTAGACATTCAGCAAGTTGTATGTATAAGATTTTTTTGTGAATATAACCCTTAATTCGTTATTAGAATCTCACTTACTTTTACGCCAGCCGCAATATCGTTCTGAAGTTGTCCAGTAGTATAGATCTTCCGTATAGCGTCCCCTACAAGCGCTTTGGTCGAACTGTTCACGATATGCATATTGTCATTTACAAGTGCCCCAAGATCTTGATCGTATTGTGCAAGCAGAGTCTTGAAACTGTTCAAATCTGAAAGAGAATGGCAAGATTTTAATATAGCCCAAATACACCGCATTTTGACTATCTTTTTTTTAACTACCTGCTGCTTTTGTAATCTGCTCTTCTGACATGATTCCTATCAACAGAGGTACTGGACTAGCCCCACCAGCAGCCACAGCGTCGTACATCCTCTGGGTGAGGAAGGCACCGTCGTGGCTGGGTTCCACCACTGGAGTGTACATGAAACCTTGTACCATTTGGTCCCTTCCTAGGCCACCCTACAAAATATTTACAAATTGTAGACATAACTGCTCTCTTTCTATTCTAGACTAAAGACAAAATTAGTTAGACTCACAGGGAAGGTGTTAGTAGAAGCAAGGATGTCCGCAGCAGTCTTGGACTGCAGGAACGTCAGAAGCTCTTGGGATGTTGCACTCTTGGAGAATGAAGAATCAAGGTAAGTGGCCATGTTGTACGCGATATCCTTGTAACCTCTTTGGTAAGCCCATGGACACAAGGCGGATCCACTTTCCGATATTGCGGCCCTGAATAGTCCTAAAAATTGGAGGAAACCGATGAAACTGAAAGATAATGGTCTAGAGTGTTAGGATACCTTGAGATTGCTGGCTTAACATCTGGAGGGTGACGGAAGCACCACCAGCGCTGAGTCCGAAGAGCGTTACTTTGCTTGGATCGCCTCCGAAGTACTTAATGTTGTCACGGACCCACTGCAAGGCCAAGTTCTGGTCTTTCAGTCCCATATTTCCGGGTATGACAGTATCGCCAGTAGTCAAGAAACCTGTTACGAAATGGAAAAATCTTTACAATGAAACAAAGTCGAGTTAGAGTCAAACTACTAACCAAAAGGTCCAGTTCGGTAATTGACAGTAACCACTATGACTCCCTCATCTATAAACAAATGAGGACCGTAATCGTGGTAGATGGCGTGTCCATTGAGGAATCCTCCACCGAAGATATAGAACATTACTGGTAGGTTGGCGTTGGATCCTATTTCCTTAAAATGTAATAAGGTCGTTGTCAACTTTGATTACCAAAATTTTTCTATAAGACTTACAGCAGGGGTGTAGACATTCACGTAGAGGCAATCTTCAGATTGAGTAAAACTGGTAGTACTACCCGTTTGATAACAAACTTTATCGTTAACAGTGGCGTCCAACGTTCCTTGCCAATTTTCCACGGGTTGTGGGGCCTAAATTATTTTGCTTTATTAGATTTAGATATCATATAAATAGTTCCTAAAAAATTAATTTCTTCAAGTCTTTCCTTACCATAAACCTTAGGTTTCCAACTGGTGGCTTGGCGTAAGGAATCTGCTGAAAGGCGTAGAACACTTGTCCTTTGTACGTGGACTCTTGCCTTCCTTTAAGCTGACCATTTGGAATGGTTACATAGACATCTGCAGCCAACTGAAAATAAATGAGGTTGCTCTTTATAGCTATGCGCGAATATTTATGTCTTCCTTAATTCTCTTAGCAATATTGGAAAGTGAAGAAGGGTTAATAGGTAAATTATAAACAAATTGATTCTGGTATTCGTGTGTTGTTGTAATTAGAATAATTGAATTAGTACTCACTGCTGAGGCAACCAGAAAAGCTGCCAACAAGATACTTTTCGACAACATCGTAAATAGTACGCAAACCACCACTATGCGTGACTCTTTAGGTTAGACCTTTATATATACTTTGGCGACTCAAGAGTGGTACTTCAGATGTTGTTTATTACAGATTATTATAAATTGTTCAGCTCGCGAGCGCAAAAATAGCTGATAAATTAAGTGTTTTGTCTTATCGACGGATAGAGTTAAATAAACAAATGGCTCAATGCGGATTTATTGAAGTAATTGATGGGATATGTCATGTCTATGAAAATGTGTGTTAAGGACCTGGAAAAACCAGCAAAACTGAGAGCAGTAGAACTTTCGAAACGATACTAATAAAACAGTACTTGGTATAGTTTTGGTCCAAGAATGTGGAGACGCTCTAGAGTCATTGGCCAGACGAAAATAAGAAGAGTTGGTTTGGGTCCCAGGCCATAGGGGCATCCCTGGTAACGAGAGGGCGGATCAATTAGCTCGTCTTGGGTCCAGGGGACCTGGACAGGGACCTGAAACAATCTTAGGTATCACACGAGGCAGCATTAATGGGGCCCTCAATAAATGGGCCTATCAAACTTTAGGTCTGGATTGGAGGAGAAATAGAGGATGCAGGCAGGCCCATAGTTTTATACATGGACCTAGCAAATCCAAGACAAGATGGCTGCTGAGCCTCAGTCGAAGAGCCCTAAACCAAATGGTGGGGGTTCTGACAGGCCACTTCAGACTTAGGAGGCATTTAAGCTTAATAGGAATTGAGGGGGACCCTCTATGCCCGAAATGTGGCGAAGGGGAGGACACCCCTGTCCACCTTCAGGGACAGTGTGCAGCCTTTGGGAGAATAAGACATAAAGTCTTTGGTGCTGAAGAGCTGCAAGGGGTTAAGGTGAGAGACCTTCCATGGACCAAAATCCTGGCGTTCATTAGGGCGTCGGGTAGGTTCGAGGAGGGTCAGAGGCAGAGAGTGGTTAGGTGATGGGACGGCGGGGTAGGCAAAAAGGGCCCACTTGTGGCCTAATTGCCAGGCTGAGGCCGCCCCTTTACTGCTACTACTACTGGTATCGTTTTGGAAAGTAGAGCGAATTGAATATTTTTGAAGAACGGTTTCTTTGTATATATTTTGGTAATATACTTGGTAGGAGTACGTACTTCAAGAAGATACGAGTGTGTATATCAAAATTGATATTGTTATCAAGCTGTAGAAGAGGGTGATTATATCGTTACATTTTTAACGTATTACGAAATGGTTTTTTGTAATTACCAATAAGCACTGCAATAATAGTAATGTAGTTTTTATTTGTGGCATAGTTCTTTTCTTTCTTTATTTGCTATTTGACGTTTTGGTTTATTTATATAAATTTTTTCACGGCTGGCAAAATACACAAATAAAGAAAAACATAGCAATGTACAAAAATAATAATAATACGCGACATTTTTAAAAAATAATATACCTTAAAACTACTGGATTTGGTTAATCTACATAAATATGTGTAACATGTAATCAGTTCTCGAAGCGGTTTTTTATAAACTAATAAGTATCAAAGGGTGGTATGGCCCACGCGTCGTAAACATCCACCCATCCGCTATACGCTGGCTCCCTAGGATTAGTTTTAAGGGTTAGTTCATCGTCGATATCCAAATAAGTGAAATTTTGCGTGTTCACTTTAGGCCATCTTACAGCCCCCCGTGAGAGCGTTTTTGTTGCTGGTGTAGGATTTCTGAAACAACACAAAATTATTTAATTTAAAATTGTAATTTGTTAACTGATTATGAGATATAAAAATTGTACAGTTTTACTCACAAAGTCTTGGCAAAGTTGGTGAACATCTTCACGTATCTGTTGAGCGTTTGCAAATCTTTGGCGTCTATATCTTGAATGTTCTGGGAATTGCTGAAAACCCAAAGGTACTTCGTGTCTTCTGAATGTGATACCCTTCCAGCACCTAAGCATACCAAGAAATTTTGTTTCATTATGGTTGCAAATTTTCTTTGCTTCTCTCTAATTTCATATATCCTTTCAAATTGTATAGATGTATTCCTTAGAATGGCTATTATTTAACTACTGCATTATTATACGCACCTTCTACAGAAACATTATTACCCCCAAGTGCTCCGTGATAAGAAAACTGGTAGAAATACACGTCAGTGTACGCCGATTGCAGTTCAGCATGTTTGATGATTGGTCGGCTTACGTACGCATCTGAAAAATACTGAAAAATATTTCATTAATATTCACAAAAAATATATTCTAAACATCCATATAAATAATAATGTTTTAACACCTTAACTGCTGCCCCAAGATTGTCCTTCAACAATCCATCAGTGTAGATCTTCCTTATAGCTTCACCAGCTTGAGTCTTTCTGGTCAAATCGTCAATATGCATGTCCGCTTGCACTAGGAACGTAACATTGTTGTCGTATTGTTCCACTGTTAACTTATATGTTTCCAAGTCTGTAACAAGATTCCGTTTTGCACACAAACCAATTTTGCAATTCAATTTATTTTACCTGAAGCTTGTGAGACCGCTTCCTCAGACGTCATGCCCACCATGAGTGGCACCTTGTTGATGTTTCCCTTTTCCAAAGATCCGTACATCCTTTCCGTGATGAAGGCGTCCTCGTGGTCGCATTCGATGACTGGCGCGAACCAGGACCCTTCGCTTAGGATCATAGATCCAGGTGCTTGCTAGAAGAGAATCACGGAGTTTAGTTTGAAGGTTTCTCTGGCGGTTGTCAGTGGTTGGTTTAGACTTATTCACTTTTCCGAGAGACATTTCTGCGTTCTCTAGAAGAAACTGGTGAATCAGTTTCAAAGAAAAGTTAGGTTCACAGTTTTCTTATGCTGATTTTGGAAGTGAAAGGTATCGTTTACTCACCGTAAATATTGATGTGGCAGCGTCTATTTGTTCGGCCGTTGCGTTTTGGAGCAACATTAGCAATTCCCACGAATCGGCGCTGTCATCAAAACTGGGATCTATAAATTTGGCGAGGCTGTAAGCGAAGTCAATAGCACGTCTCTGGTAGCCGTGTGGTGTCAAAACTGATCCACTTTGCTGGATAGCTCCTCTAAATAGTCCTTAAAATATCACGATTGAAAAATTACCACGAAGTTTTTTCTAGAACTAGAAATATCGCTGATCTTTTGATGAGGAATTTATTCAAGCGCTTACTGGGAAATTATGTAGAAATTTAATTTACCTTCAGATTGTTTGCTAATAATGTGGTATCCCACAGACACTGCACCGGAGCTCTGGCCAAATATGGTTACTTTGTTTGGATCGCCTCCAAAATGTTCGATATTCCTTTGAACCCACTTCAGGGCCATGTTCTGGTCCTTAAGACCGTAGTTTCCTGGTATTACATAGTCTCCAGTTGACAGAAACCCTAAAAAAGTAACATTTTTATAAACAAATGCTTCTTAAAATATACTTAAATTGTCATCAAATGAATTTATATAGGTGAATCCGATGTTATCCTAGCTGTAACTGATTACTTTTGACAAAGATCAAGAAACAGCCACGATACATTAATTAGTATATTTCTGCATTTCAAGGACTGGCGTTTCAAACGTATTCCTTATAAAGAAACGGGATTATTGGATATCTATGGGAAAGCAAAAACTTTATTCTTTTTTATCGAACTCTTACTATTAATTTTTTTTACTATGCAGTGTGTCCAAGATAAGGATGGGATAGCATTAGGATCTAGAAAACGGTAAGAGATACGGTATGGGCCAAATTAGAAAAAAGTTGTGTTTCTTTGTACCTAATAATATGCCGTTTAGAAAGTTATAAAATTCCGGGTAATCCCGGAGATATCCGGAGAAACCCGGAATTTTGCAAGATCGTTTTATTTTTTTTCTGTCTTTATTTGAAAACGAATTTTGAAATAAGTTACATATTTACAATGCCACTTTTTTCGCTCTATCCAATGGCGTCAACATTTTTGCAATCCGACGTTTCGTCTTCGAGGGGCCATTATCAGGTTAATTTTTTTAAATATATCGCTGCTATTTTTATGACAGAAACTAGTCATTTTTAATTTTGAATTAGATGATATTATTATTGTATTCGCTTAAAAAGGTTTTTAGCTTGTTTTAGCTTTCATTTAAATTTTTTCCTGATTACGGCTCTGAACGCTTTCAAAATATCTATTGGAGGAAGTCATTACAGTATAAAAGTCAATACAGCACAAAATATCCAACAATTTTTTTAATCAATAATTTAAAAAAGTTGTAGGTACCTACCTAATAAAAAAATAATACGTATTTATGAAATGTTTTATTATTTCTAATTAGTATTGTTAATAGTAGTAAAAAAATTGTGGGATATTTGTGCTGTATTGACCTTTATACTGTTATGACTTCCTCCAATAGATATTTTGAAAGCGTTCAGAGCCGTATTCTGGAAAAATTTTAACTGATAGCTAAAACAACCTAAAAACCTTTTACAAACCGATTAAAAACGATTACAATAGTAATATCATTTAATTCAGAATTAAAAATGACTTTAGATTTTGTCATAAAAACAGCAGCGACGTATTTATAAAATTAACCTGATGATGGCCCCTCGAAGACGAAACGTCGGATTGCAAAAAAGTTGACGCCATTGGATAGAGCGATAAAAATGGCAACGTAAATATACAATTTATTTTAATATCTCTTACCGTTTAATGATCCTAATGTTATCCCATCCTTATTAAAACAAAAATTCTTACCAAAAGGTCCTAATCTGTAAGATATGGTGACAACAATCACACCGTTATCCATAAAATGATGTGGTCCAATAGTACTATATAGCGAATTTCCATTCATAAATCCACCACCGTGTATATAGAACATTACTGGCAAAAGTGACCTGGTGTGTTTGGTATGTAATTTCTAAAAATGTATGCATATTTAAAAAAAACATTCATTTTTATAAGAAAAAACCTTATATGAAAATAAAATATTTATAAATATAATTAATAAGGGGTGCAATTACTTTGTCAAATACTACAAAAGATGAGAGGGACTTGACATTTTTCTAGAAAGATTAGAAATTCTGCCTTGTCTTATTATGTTACTAAGCTGGCAGTGCCAAAAACGACCAATAGTAACGGTTCAGTAATCGTAAGCTGAAATCGTTTTAGTGGGAATCGCCTGTAAATTTATTTGTTTTTACAAAAAGCCGGAAACGACGTTGAGCAGATTATAAATTACAGGATGTTTTTATTACTAGAGGCGTTTTTAACACGACGAAGAACTTCCAGCAATAGGTAATTCTATCAAAAATCTATATACATGAGAGTTGCAAAATAGATATTTCACTCCTTAGCCTTAACTGGGAACATTTTACCTGCCCTTGTTGTCCTCGGGCTAGGTTCTATGGGGGCGGACAAGATAAATTAAATATAGGAAGTCCCAGTAGTCTGCTGGATTTTGAATTTTACACTTGTTTTTACCCTGTATACAGGAAGAATATGTAAAATCCATCAATATGTAGAAAGTGTACTGAATATTCAAATATTTTTTATCAGACGTACCACTGGCGTATACACATTGAGATAAAGGCAATCTTCATTCTCCATCGTCGAATTCGACGCCACCTGATAACAAATTTTATTCTCCTGCGTCGCATTTAAAATGCCACTCCATGGTTGTACTTGTCGTGGGTCCTGTAACAACGAAGACAGCGTCACATTTTTTTTATTACCTTAAATGTAACGACTTACCTTGAATCTTAGTTTACCCAATGGTGGTTCCGCGTATGGTATTTGCAGAAAGGCATAGAATGTGAGGTTTCTGGCGGATAATTTTTCCAAGCCTCGAACCCTTCCGTCAGGCAGATTTACGGTTACCTCCGATAACTATAAGTTACCGGAAAGAGTTAGTAAAGGTATAAATTTTGTGTGACTTTGTGTATTTAATTTAACGCTGATAAGAGGTACCTAAATAGAAATTCATGTTTTTTCTTCATTCCAAATATACAGTGTCGGAAAGTTCCCATGGTTCATCGGCCGTTACGTGAGAACGATAAAGTAAGTCATAGAAATCCGTGCGATAGAGAGGGATGGCTATAATGAAGGCGTCTCATAGTCACCGCCCATTTCGCCCTTCCACAAATAAGATCCACTTTTTATTTGTGGAAGGGCGAAATGGGCGGTGACTATTAGACGCCTTCATTATAGCGATCTTTCTCTATCTCTATGATTTACTTTATCGCTCTCAGGTAGTGGCCGATGAACCATGGCGACTTTCCGACCCTTTATAAACCACGCTTTTAAATTGAAAAAAATTACATTACCTGAGCAATAGTTGTGGAAAACTTGGAAAATTTTAAAAATCCCATAGGAAATATCTCGCATTTTTTGTTAATAATTTTATCTATAAAATATTTATGAAGCATAAATATTTATAATTGTTTTATCTATAAGAAATTTGTAAATTCATTTCTTTATCAGGAACACATATCGGTCAATAAAAATGCGTGTTTTCCCTATAATTTATTATTGATTATTGATCAACAGACGGTAAATATCAAAGATAAGGCTTTGTCAACGAACTACACTTCGTATTTGCGATTTAAAAAATATGTTTGTATTTTCAGTTTTCATCGACCTTTTAAAGAAATGTAGACTTTAATACGTTTACATGCTTTAATACAACACCTATTTATTTCCTTTCTTATAGTACTGACAAACGTATGAGAACTATACAGGTGGCGACAGCGACAGAAAGTCGTTTCGCGTAAAATCGGCCTTGGAATATTAATAGACTGTATAAATTTTATCAAGAGTATAGTTACTGAAGTAGAAATGGAACACGTGTATCTAAAAAGTATTTTCCTATATGTATAATTTACTACAGATAAACTAAATAAACAATTAAACGTAACGTCCAAATGTATTCTTTTTTTTTTACGCTAAACCGCAGTACTAGTGTACTTGTATTATTATTGGAAACAAATTTAGTTTAATTATAAATTAATCAAAACGCTGTAATTTAGCTGTCATAAAAATATGTATATCTATATTTCTTTCGTCTTAAACAAACAAAATGAAATCATTACAACAATATTATGGGAAACAGCATTTGTGAAAGATAATTAATTAGATTTTAGTAAAACGAAAGGATCAATACACTTATTATTTAGTTTTTAGGTTATTATTATAATTGGGTCATATTTACAAAGGTTTACCTCATATATCACAAATTCAAATAAGAAAATTCTGTATTGTTTTGTACCAACATAATTATGTTGACTTACCGCTGAAGTTACGGAGGCGAAAATTAAAAACAACTTAAACATCATTATTCGTTTTGCACTGAACTAGGCAACTCGTCCAATAATACGTGATCCGAAAGTTTTATGTATATCTGCAGACAGAGATAAGAATATGTGTGTATGTATTGATAATCAAAAAACACCGGTTTTCACGGATAAGTCAAATCCCCCTTTTACCACAAAATTCTAGAGAACTGAATTAACGTATGGTATCCTTATCAGAGGAAACGCTGTAAATTTTGGGCACCTCCTGTGTAAAATGGTTTTCATTAATTATTAATTAGATGACAAATACTAGAGGGGAAGCCAAAACAGGAAACCGCCGCAATAAATTTATTATCTGAAAAGGATTCTTAAAAACTATATGCCCACACAAAAAATTAACTAAATAAAATTAAAAAAAAAGCTGCTGGGTAGACAATACACAGACGAAAGTCAAGGCAATTGGCGACAATCAAATAAATAAACAGTAGTAATCTATATTATGCTAGTAAGCGGCAATGTAGTAGCAGAAATAGGCTAAATCTGTGGTCAAACTGTGCGCCGCTCTATGCTCACAATGCACAATGCTACTGACTGCCATAAAAACACGTGCCATACAATCGACCAAGCAAAGCGTCAGACTCACACGCACAAACGACAATGAGCAATATACCGGGATTGTTCACCGGCTCGCCAGGCAGACAGGACAGGCATTAGAGTTCCGCTAGATACGTATCGAATAAATCGATCGATGCGAAGCTTCAGGTCAGAGGCAGACATGTACATGTTATTGTACAATGACGCGGATAGTGGGATTACTAAAATGTGAAGTGGTTGCTTCGTCCCCAATAGTAAATGTTGAGGTCCTTTTCGAGGACAACTGTTAATGATTTTCTACAATCGCTTATTTTATTATGAGTAAGAAATTATTATTTTTTAATTCTTGCTGGTACTTATTATTACGTACTGTACATAAATATATGTTTAGAAACATAGATACTGCCCCTTTTTGTTTCGTACTATTCGACAAATAAAGAGTGCAGTTTAAGAGGACAACAGTTATCACATTTGAATAATATTACATATGACAAGTTATGTCGCATATACCTATATATAGAATGACAAACCCTTTATTGGCGTTACAACTAAACTATGACTAATTGTAAGACTTCTAACTATTTGCTGATAGCGATAACACAAATATGCACATATTTGTGCTAAATATGTACATACTAATATTACATTTTTGTAAAAAATTACACCAATGATCACCTTATTCATTACATTTTTAATTATTTTGGTAATCTTGTATAAAATCAATTTATAATGAGTTATTTCTGTGGTTGTGGGAAAATGAAAATCAATTTGAGTAACATGATTTGTTTTACTAGACGAAAAGTTTTCGAAGAAAGTTGAAACGTTTAATAAATAATTTAATTGTAAGAATTATTTTGCCATTTTCATTCTGAATTTTGAAATACGGCTCTGTTTATTTATAACACATAACTGGCGAACAGTGAGGGTTTCTCCAGACTGAGAAGGCTTGATATGTGCTTCTTACGGTTTCAACTTCCACTGGTTACTTTATACATATTCTCTGTGATTGTAACTATAAAATTAATGTTGCAAAAATTCGAATATTACATCACCTCCATTAAAAACTGATTGGAAGACCTTATGTTTCGATTAAAAAATACAATCATTGGTTTATACAGAGCGTTACAAGAACGTAGGAAAGTACTGGATTTTACTTCATTTTATATTTAATTGTCTCCATTTTAATTTATACACTGAGGAAAATCGACCAATAATCTAGAGTTGTGATACTTAGAAAAAATGTATAAAAACAAAAAATAATAATAAAGTATCAATTTTTTTAGGTTACTTCATTTAGAACAGGTCATTTACGTTATATACATATAGTGTATGTTGTGCAAAAATGTAGACATTTACAAACTTGTTCAATTACTTCATAATATTCACTTGTCAAAATTGACGGACGTATGCCATAAGTGTATCTGTTTTGTATTGTCCCTGGGTTTCTTTAAATTAATAATGATTAGCGGTAAAGTTAACGAAGCCGAATTTGATGACCCAAGTAAGTAAACAATATTTCCAAAATTTTATATTGTTATCAGTTATTTTCATAATATTCCATTATTTTAAATTATAAAATAAATCACCTGATCTTCCATACATCATCAGGGCAAAAAAGCGGTAATTCCAAATTAAAAATACCATTCTAATTTATTTAATCAATACCCACAAATTTAGCCCACAAATAAATCACGGATTTCGAGCGACATTCTGCTAGATAGTACCTTGCTCCGTTTCGTTATATCTAAAATTTCACGTAACACCCCCCACCGAACCTGAAAAATCGTGCCGAAATTCGTATCCGTGGCATATTTTTACGGATATATCGATATGGCTGATATTCAGACCTAAAATCGAGTCACGAGAGTTTTCTCGCACGCAACTTCTTCAACGGAACGGAAATTTGTCAGCATTTCTTAAGAGCCTGTGAAAGTTGCGAGTTATGCCGTCGGACAGAGAGAATTACGAAGGTGAGACATAGAGAAATTATCAAAAAAGCACCTCTAAATTTAATTGCATAAATAAATTTTTAAATTCATTACGCGCAGATTTTTTTTTGTTCATATCCGAAAAAAAATGTATATTTTTTCATGAATTAGCTTCTTTATTATTTTTTTTATGAAATATGTATTTCCAAACATTGATTTTGTTACTTTGACAGCCAGATTGAGAAGAAGGCTTAAAATATTTAAGTTGTGTGGCTTAATAAAACACCATGTTTCTAAGCATTTTTTTTAATAAAAGTCATATTCTTTCAAGAATTCGACTATGTGGTGGCAATTAGAGAAGGGGCTAGAGTCTGCTTCGGCTCTTCGATACCACGGAACACTGCTCCTATAGGTAGTGGACTATCTCCCTTCCAAAAGAGACTTACGGGGGAAATTAGCAAAATAGCGCCTGGACATTACCGCATAGAAAATATAACCGGGGCCATATACCAGCAACTACACAAGGTATACAAGAATACTAGTTCGTGTTTCTGCTAAAATTACAGGGTGTTTCCGAACATGGATATTTGAATGGCAAGCAGTCAGCTTGGAAGACGATGATTCAGTGCATACGTGCAACTGGTTACCAGCAAATTATCAGCAACGTCAAGACATCCCCGGTACAATTTTATTCTTAGATGAAGTTGTTGTTCTGAATCAAAGCGAATAAAACACTTGCTTGACCTTCAAATGACCCCTAAGTTTGACCTCTGAGTCAAAACCAAGGTCAATATCTGGCATTTCTGGTTGTCGTTTATTATGGCGGAAGTCTGTGGAACCGCTATTCTGTTCTCTAAACCACCTCAACAATTTTGAAGATAGCTTTATTAATATTCGGGCTGGCACTATCAAAGTTTTTTAACAGACCTTTTGTGCTGAAAAAGTGCCTGACTGCACAACCTTGTTTGATAATATGCAGCGATTCCTTAAAAAATAATTTTCAAGGTCGTAGACACCCTGGATATTAGCCGTAAAGCTTTTTCTTCCGGTTCATAGTGAAAATCAAATCAAGAGTGCTGTATCGATTATTTTCTCGATTGTCATTTGTTTAAAGATACGGAGCAAGGCTGGAGTGGGGGGACTCGCCAGTAAAGCGCCTAGATTCAAGGAAAAGTACATCAGGACGCCTTCGCCTGGAAGGTATCACGTGAAGCCCACGTGGGGTGAAGGCGAGAAAAGTAAAGTACCCCTCGGAGGAACGGCCAAGATAAGGGAATTAAAAATCGATAAGCATCCTGGGTATGAATTAATATTGACATTATTTTTCCCATTTTTTTTAACTATAACATAACTATTTGGAAAAAGCATTGAATCGGGTAGAGATAAGTCCGGAAGAACTTAGTTTACGTGGTTATTTTAGACCCGGGACTTACGAGATCCACAAGACGAAGAAATGTCGAAGGACCAGGTTTATGTCCAATTTCGGAAGGCCTTCTATGGTGCACTGCGTGGAGATGGTTTGTATATCTAAACCTATAGACAGGTGCCTTAAGTGTGACACCCTGTGCGAGGGTGATTACTGGCACAGAGATCATTCGCTCTATCTGTGTCAGTTGTGTTGGAACGAAGAGAAACGCACACGCGAAATCTACAGTCCGGAAGAATTGAAACTGTTCAAGGTTTGTGCATAGAACATGACAAAGTCCCAAAAGTCGAACAATAAACTGGAAACTGTTGTTAAAAAGGAAAATTAGGTTCATATTCTAAAAATTAGTTTGGAAGATATGTTTAGTGGGTTCGCTTTGTGACTCATACTCTTTCTTCATTCAGTGAAAGAAAATGATATTAAGAAAGTCCGAAATAGATTTTATATGTTGCTTGACGTTTGGGACAGTTCTAAGTTAAACGGAATCAGATAACAAAAAAATTTTTTTAGAAAATCCGCAACTGTTCTTTTATGCATAACCATGAAGAGACAAATGCGGCGATCCGGATTCTTCCGCAGAGTAAGATAAACAAAAAAATTCGCCTGGAAAACTATTTGGATTTGTATTTAGAATGTGACATTCCTTTAAAATAAATTAAATGATGTTTATGTATTGTATTACACAACAATTTTTCCTGCCTTTTCCTCAGGAACATAACAAGAAATTTATTTCAACGTTAAGATTCTGGGCCGCGTCAAAAGTCTCGCAATGAAATAAGATATATATTTAACAATATTTTATTCAGAGATTCAAAATCACAATTTGTAATAGCCACAACTAGACGAAAAAATATATGTCATACATAAAACTACCCTAACAACAAACATAGATAGCAGTTAGACTTCTATCAAGAGATTTTTAATAACATCAATAAATTAATATCAATAAATAGATAAATTTCAGATAATAGATACATGTTGTATTATCTAGTTGTGTTAGAACATACAAGAGCTTCCAAAATAGTTTTACAAAAATAAAATATATTAAAGCTTAAAGCTACCAAAGAAAATATAGTTTTAAAATAATAATACTATGATTTGGAATGAAAGAAAAAGTTTTTGTACGTCTATTTTATCGAAACAAATGTTTTAATCACATGTTTCCATAGTCGCAAATAAATAAATATTTTGTTCTATAGTTTCTAGTTCACACAACTTTAATTAAAGGACTATGCAAACAGGTGTACTAACATTTTTCAAAAAATTGTTTAATAAATATTGATTATAATATTTAAAGAAACGCCATAACCTTAAATATATATTTTGTGTATTTATAATTGTGCGAGAATAAATTTTAATATAAAAAGGAGGTTCCATTTTTGTTGTTATTGCAAAAATTCAGAGATAGAGATCAAGTAGTATGATTAATAATCATTATTGGATACTTCTATATACTATTTTACATAGATGGAAGTCAAAAAATTCGTGCGTGTACTTTTCTGTGATAAATGGAGCAACCTACTATTTATATTGTTTTATTTACAATAAATATACTTAATAATAATATTGTCGAAACGCGTATATTGCAAAACATGCTTTGGCGAAATTCATAAATATATTCAAAGTATTAAATGCGCTAAATTTTCCAAACGTTTATTTTGATTTTTATTCAAATAGTGTATCTTTGATTATGGATTTATTAATAATATCAGACAAAATTTACTTAAACTATAGTAAACTCTCATAAATAAAAACATAGTTTTTCTACAATACGATAATAAAAAATTATATTTCTATTTTCTTTATGTGCAGTCTTCTACGTAAAATGCTTTAATAGAAAAATATTTCTGAGGAATGAATAATAATAACTGAAAATGCACCGCATTTAAAGACACTTACATAAAAAAACCTGGTAGGAATGAATGTACTTATCTAATTATTATAAAGATGTGGGTATTATTACAGTGGTTAAAGTTAAACGGAACAAGGTAAAAGCTATTTGTTGCCCAGCACCTTAGTATTTGTAACAACAGTCCTTGATTTGAGCGATGTGATACACTTGACCGTAACAGCGGATCATTTATTTCAATCGATCTCTTTTTCCATAGTAATAATAGTGAATTTATTGATAAAATTAAAGACAATACTCGTAAAGCAGTTATTTCCTTTGAAACCATTAAAACGTATTATTAATGTAATATTTTCAATAATAGTAATTCATATTGCATGGAAATCATCTATAGCGATTAGATATTCAAAATTGTGACCGAAATGAAACTACAATCTACAGGTCCATATCTCTCTCAAATAACTTTTGGAAAATGTTTGAAACCGAGGTTGGTCGAGTTTTTAAATGAATATACTGTATTTAATAATCAATTTGGTTATTACAAATTAGACCAGGAATTACATTGAACTAATAAAATAATTAACAATCGGAAAAAATGTCTTGATGTATTTTTGGAATTAATTAAAGCTTTGGTCATGAGTTTTACTGAAATATTAGCTAAAAAATCGCATCCAGAAAGTTGAAATGAATACAGATATAAAAAGGGTATATAAAATCGGGTGTCCCACAAGGTACTGTTCTTAGACCTGTACAATTCGTTAATATATATTAATTCAATTTCAATTTTTTTAATATGCTTTAATTTCCTAGTGTATTAAAATATACAATTTATATGAGAGAACGTTTCGGTCAAGTGCGTGCTTGGGCTAATGCAGCGTTCTAGTTTCTATCCAAATCACAGATCTTCAAACCATAGTTCTATAATTATAATATAAAATGCTCGAAGCAACTTGGTAAAACGTGGTTTGCAATTTAAATTAATGCAATAAACTTTGATTCCTTGCTTTTTCAAGCTAAGTGCTCCTTCTTACGATATAAAACCAAAACGGTTTTTTCGTCACCACCGTACTAGAAGGAATATGCAATACGAACATCTCCAGGTGCGTCCGATCCGGGGATTCTAACACAACGTTACATATACTTTATAAATACTTGTTCTTTTTATTGATTTCACAGCAACTTCTGAAGACCTGAGGTGGCATTTTGCGATTTAGATTGGTATCTTAAAGGTTTCGTATATGTCGGGACCTCCTAACCAATATGCAACTAGAGGTCAGTCCGCACGATGCTTGCGCTAGTTGGGAGATGTTCACCGAACGCCTGGGGTAGTCTATCTTTTCGCCAAACACCTGCAAAATAAAAAAAAAATCACAAATCCAGCTGTTTTAGTGTACTAGCAACTCAGTTACGTGTAAATCTGGACAGGATACCACAATTTATTTGGATCTGTTCCTTAAGGCGCCTTCCCATGATGCATGATTCAACGAATATTAATAAATAATAAATCCTATAAATCAATTTGAAAGAAATCTTCGCTCTAGTTGTGGTCAAGTCAAGGAAGAACCACGAGCGATTTACTTGCAGAATGTCGAGTCGTGGGAAAGCGCCTTAAGAACTATATCTAAAAAAGAGTATACTTTGACCATTTAACTTAAAAACTGGAGGAATCTGTTGCGCTGGTCGTTAATTTGAAACTGAGGATATTAACCTTGAACGATGAAGGTATTTCTTCAATACTACGGTGGACCAGGGTTCCATTCAAGTACAAAACATTTGCTGCCTCGTCTTCGGGTAGAGTAATGGTTTGGTAGCTGAACGTCGCCTCTCTTTCCATCCGTTTTAAGACTTCTTGGGCTTCCTTCCCTGCTCCTACGCACAGCAGGTCAGGTCCACCCATCGTCACGTAAGATTTTAAATGTTTTGGTTCTGGTACCTACGAAAGGATTTTTTGTAAAAAAAAAACGTATTAAATTTTTTGGTAAACTTATTTCAATGGGGAAAGTTCCATTTCTATTTTCAAAACATCGGTAAAAAATATGGATTCCGTATTTTTGACTTTTGACTTCATTTAAACACTTAAGCCAACAAACATTCAGTGTCTAACCTAATTTTTCACGTAGTATACGGAAGGACGTTATTTTACTTATAAAAAAATCATTCTAATTTAAAACACGTAAAACAAAAATAATCAAACGATTCCAAACATTTAAAAAACAACAATATGGAAACAAAATATTAATAAATTTACTCAGGACAGGTTTGTTGTGTGCTGTCTATTTTTTTAATAGAAAAAATGAAATAAGCACAAAAAATAGCTTGAGTTTCAAACTTTACTTAGCCATTGTCTTCTACAAACACCTCAGGGAAATTTTTCAGAGAATATTTTGCGAAAGCACTGTCAAATCTACAGGGAGTTAAAGTCATTTAATTAAAAATATAGCAGATTAAAATAATCAGTTCTAAATAAAAAATAAAAAAAGAAAAATTTAGGTTGAAAATAAATTTCAAACTATAATACTTTAATTCAGCATTAAATTATTTGCAAAATGACAACAAAATACTAGATGCAACAGCAGCGGCCATTACTATAATAACGCAAAAGAGACCAGTTTTCATTTGTGTAAAGCCATGTACAGACCTTGCGTATAGTCTGTACGTACCCTTAATTTTAAATAGTTTGTTGGTAATTGTTTACTATAGTGTAAATTTCTTAAATCATATTAAAAAAAATGTAACCTGACACGTAACGGATGTTTCACTTTTAACCTGGAACTTTCAAATATTTCGAGAAATAAGCACCCTTTGAAAATTTGAAAAAAATACCAGTAATCAAAATTTAATGATTTCGTGGGGGAAATACATTAGAGCTAAAATTAGTTCCTCTCCCCCTCCCCTCGTACGCGAGGGTGGGAACTGTGGGATGGTGGGGTAACTTTGAAATCTTAAATAGGAACTCTAATTTTTTATTGAAGATCCAAATTCTACGGCTAAAGGTACGTAGGATTTGTCGGAAACATTCGTTTCGATTCATGATAGATGGGGCCGTAATCGACGAAATTCAATTAGTCCTACTGAGAATCTATGCACGATTCTGCAATACATTTGCAATAAAAAATACCACGTTCTTGGTGGTGAAAATTCGACATATTTAGAATTATTCAATTTTCGTGGCTGAAAATATACATAGGTAGGTAGTGTATTTTCGAAACCGAAAGAGTTGCACTAACCAAATTTGGACAGGGCATAGCTAATACAATACAAAGCATTGCCTTACTGTTAAAAATGTTGTCACCGCCGTTCTTGATGGTGAAAATTCGAAATATTTAGAATTATTCAATGTTCGTGACCGAAAACATACATCACTATTGCAATTTCGAAACCGAAATTTGGACAGGACATATTATCTAATACAAGGACTAATTTTAGCAATGTATTTCCCCCGCGGAGTGATTAAAAATTGAGTTTTAGGTTAAAAAATATGCCCGATACATAAGAACTTAACTCGACCTAACCTAACTTTATGTAGAATTTCTGTCTGTATAAAGTTAGGTTAGTTTTTTTATGGCATCCATATGCTACGTTATATTATAAAAGTATTTTACTGACCAAATGAACATGATAGTTAAATGAATACAAATATCTTTATTTCATTTTAGCAATACATTATTTCTAGAATTTTGAAAAAAAAATCACGAAAACTAGGTTCGACCGCGTAATAATAATATCAGATTCGTGTTCAGCGCCCTCGAAAGTGCAGGGAAAATTTAACGCATTTTTGTACGCTGTAACAAATAATTACAGTTCTTTTGGAGATAATTATAACATTTGACCTTTGCGATGGCCGCTACTGTTTGCAGCGAGAAACGATAACAACGAAAATCAATAATCGAGCATGCACAAACTAATCGCCTAAATTTTACCTCACACATTGTGCCAACTAAGCATCAAAATAAGCTCGTTCATGTGTGAGTGTACTTTTTGCTGTTGCCGCAGTACTAGACGCGCTCTCTGCATTAAAAAGCAGATCGGCAGGAGTCAATGTGGTAGCGTGCGACTGGGCAGTTTTTCCAAGCGGCACGCTTACCTTTACTAGGCCCTTACTAAGATCTCCCAATACTAAGGTCTCTGGTTTTACCTTGATGGGCGTACAAGGGTATTCGGGGAAAGCCGCAGCTACCGCTCGGGCTCCAGCCTCGTTCGTCCACTGGGATATGCCGACGAAAAATTCTCGACCTGGAAAAACAGGAGTCAGAATAGAGGGTGTCTGTAGTACCCAAATATGCGGGTAATTTATAGTTATACAGGGTGTTATAAAGGGATGCATACTCATTACTCCCTTGTAAAAAAGGTTTTTCAAAGGTAGAGCTTAAAAAATTATATTGCGTCTCATAACATTTACATTTTTTATTTAATATCTAACAAAGAGATCCAATATGGGTTAAATTACGGCAAAGTTGTGGAGAATTTTGTGGCAAAAAACTTGCTGAAGAGAAATTTAATTTAATTTAACCAGTCTAGGACTATTTTGCGCCCGAGCGGAGCGAAGGCTAGCAATAGAGCCCGAGACTGGTAAATTATACTTAACTGCTGCGTGGTGTATAACATTTTATCTGCTCCCACAGTCCTTTATAGTTCATGAAATAATGATCAAGTTTTATTTTTTGACATTTCTTAATCAATTAATTTTGACATTGTTCGAAAGCTTGCAAAGTCGCCTTAGTTGTTTGGATTTTGTCGCTTCTAAAGTGTTTATAAACAAAGCTACAAAAAGCAATTTTGCTGGTTTTGAATTATTATTTCTAAATGAGTGATTTTCAAATAGAAAGTGCAGCAAATGCTGCCTGCGAATTTTTATTTCCTGGGAAGTCGAAAGTGCGCTACGGACGGGCATATAGAAATTTCAAACAATTCCAGATTCTAAAAATGGTATGTCACGTACGTTTACAATTACTTCTCATCTGGGTTCTGTTTCTCAACTAAAAATTCTCAAGAAATATATTAAGATTAGATTGGAAATTGAAACTGAAATTTCACGCGTTATCAAGCAGTTAGATGTTACGACCAACCAGTCGGCAATAATACCCTTTCTATGATTCCTAATAATATTGCACAGTTTTTGAAACTAGAACATCCTGAAACATATACAGGCCATTCGTTCCGAAGAACATCGGCAACGTTACTGGCTAATACAGGAGTTGATGTATTGGCAATCAAGAGACATGGTGGGTGGAAATTAGCCACAATTGCAGAAAGTTATGTTGCTGACAGTTTAAGTAACAAAAATAAAATAGCCAACAGGATTCTTTACAATGACACTTCAACTCTTAGTTCTAGTAGTACGCCACATCATGCTGTTTTAATAGATAATTTTGAGAAAAATGTGACAATTAGTAAGCGCGGGGGGAATAATTATCCAAATTTTATAAATAATTTTTTTCCCTAGAGAGGTAAGTTACCTCACTTACCTCCTGCTGTCCATAGCAACTTCCACTTCTACGGTAAAATTCTCCTCCTACTTACCTCCGTAAAAACAATGTATATAGTCTATTTACTATCGTGGGAGCAGATAAAATAATTTATCGTTTATGATTTGCCTCTAAACTAGCAAGGGTACATGTTAATAATCACTATAATCAGTTAACATGAGTTATAGACATATTTTCAATATTTTAGACTAAGAACGTCCACTGCAATAGAGTAAAAAAATGTTTCTTAAATTTCTAAATATTCACCAGTGCTGAGACATTGTCGATTGGAGAAACAAACACAGTCACATTGTATCGTTCACTTCCGCTTCTTTCTTTGCGAAGCCGTCTCTCAATCAAAATCAATTAGCACTAAGTGACTAGAAATTCAATTTGTTCGTACATCTCCGGACGTCCTGTTCGGAGGTCTTTGGACGTCACTTAAACGGTAAATCTGTAAGAGCTGTATCGGTCGAAGTATCATTTCAAGTTACAAACGGATGATTGTTCTCAAATAGAGTAGTTGGCAGTGGCGGCTCTTGACTGCCATACCAGAGAAGGTGGAAAAATTTAGATACAAAGTTTTGAAAAAATAAAACAAATTGGGTAGTTTTATTTTAAGTACTATGAGACAAATATACTTATTTGCTTACGGTCAGACTAAATGGTAAATATGTGTTACTCCCACCCCGTCTTTCACTGCTGCACGACGGTAACCACGACCACCGCTGCAAACACTTTGCAGTTGTAGTGGCGAGCTACGAGCCCACGTATACAGAGTTTTGTTTGATAAAGTTAATCTATTTAATTATCTAGATAACATTGTAAAAAAATTTTAATTATTTTTTTTTACTATGAAAATTTCTAGGGAGGGCGGCGCCCCAGAGCCCCCCGCACCAGCCGCCACTGGTAGTCGGTAATATGCATGTCCATGTTTGGAATTTTAACAATCACGACAATAACGTTAACGTAATGTGCGTTTCCTCGTTTCTCGACGAATCCACATTTTTGTACTATTTCCTTCCTATTGCAGCAAAACTACGTCGGTTGTAAATAATAGAAAGTTTCTCTACCTCAGTTTGAATTTGTAGTTCCGTATTTGAGAAACTTGACTAATTTAATGTTGTGTTGTTAGAATCGTCTATTATTCCGTTATACAGGATGTTCCGAAATTAGTGTACAATCAAAGACCATACACCTTTTCATGGCAAACTTTTCTAAAATAGAATTTCAAACAGATGTTTTCAACTATTTGTCCGTCACCCAGTCTGAAACACCTCTGACTAAAATTTGGAATTCATTTATTCTATATTCTATAAAATACTAGTAAAATATTGTAGGACAATTTCGACATATCATATACAATAATTAAATTATCTTCAATAGACTACATAAACCAACATTCATAGTGTCAAAATTTTGCATTTTACTTACCCGTAAATAAAACATCTCCTCCGTCCAACCTCGCTTTGGCGTCAGACATTTCAATTATAGGCAAGTCTAATTCCTTTTTCAAGACAACTCTGATTGTTTCTACCTGTAACAAATGCAAACAAATGAAAACTCAGTCTTTTTATTTAAATTGTAGATACATGTAGCGGTTTAAATGCTATTCCACAATTTTTGACAGATGACAGATGACGCATATCATACATAACCTCACTTAATTTTGACATATATGGACACCCCATATAAGATCAATTGTTTATTTTTTGTTTAATATTTCATTATTTTCAATCATAGAGTTTTTACACCTTTTTGGACTAGACAGATTGACCATAATTTAATTAAATCAAGACTCCAATCTGTTGTCTGGCTATGACCGAACAATTCGTCTGTACCCTCCTTCAGTATCAACCGTATCAGCAATTTGTCATTCAGTGTAACAGCAATTTATCTGTTATGTGCACTAACGAATGGACGACAGGAACCGTCAGTACCAACAGCTATAAATCACTCCAATGTAAACGTTTATTTGTTTCATTGGAAACGAAATGGACTAATTTAGTTAACGCCCGTGTTAAAAGGCGAACTGTCACGAGATGAAATAATTCTATTAGGACTGGTTGTGGTCTGCATGTTCAAAAAGTTTCTTGTGCCTAACAACACTTCGTTACTTTTTTCAATGAAATGCAAATAATATTAATTACCGATTTTATAAAGAGATCTTGACTTTCTCTTAGTTGTATCTTTTCCCATTAAGTCAAATGTACAAATTCAGTGTGCAGGTTTATAATAATCCTAACATATCTTAGTTTTAATTAGGTCTTAAGACCTGACTTAAAAGTTCCTATCTTTTAATTTCTATCTAAAACTAAGACCACAATAAGCATGTGCATGATTATAAATAAAATAAAAATAATTATCTTAAGTCTCCTCTTCCATTTTCGCCTAAAATCAACTCTCGAAAAGATACATAATTAAATAGTAAGAAAAATATGACATTTTTCGAATTTTTTTAACATATTGTGAAAATTGTCAATCTTACGCCCCTGTAGGTAATATACTTTTTTGTTCATTTATGATTACTCTATCTCATGCTGAAGTAATGACAGTCAAACTTCTTACACCCTGTATATATTGTGTAATAATTAGTTTATAAATCTTATCTTTTTATCTGCAGAAAAGTAAAATAGGATGCGAACAACATAAAGTTGTCCGCTGTGAGAAATGACTGCAGTTTTATCATATAAATTCTAAAACGTAGCTATCTGTCAATGTCGACCGACAAAATCAGTTTTTTCGCCCCTTTTATATCGATTATTATATCTAAGGGGCACCATATACGTTTAGTTTAATGTTCATATTTAAATCGTAACGTGCATGGACAAAAAATGAACTGGCACTAACTACTAGAGAGTTAAGCTTAAGATTTACTTGAGATCGCGAAGGGAATTACTAAAAAATCATCTTCATTAATTGTCATATAGAAAAATTTTTGATTTTTCGAAACGTTATATATAATTTAAGTGCACATATGGTAAAATACATTTTATATTTGTGAAAAACCGTAAGAGAAATTTATGCATAAGGTTTTGTCTCGTTCAAATCCCTTTTGCAATAGAAATATGACTGAAATCTCTTATTTCGCATACACTCTTTATGTATTTTTAAAAATGTATTTAGTATTGGCAGTTGGAAGTTTCTGCTGATTGCTTATTTGAAAATCAAGACCATTTTAAAGGATTAGACAGAAACTATATTTGTCAAATTTGTTTTTTTTTTATTTTGTTAATTGCTTCTAATTTTGTTCCTCGACGTAATTACATCGGTGGTGTTACGTGTAACCTTTGGTATCTGGGATCATGACCCATAAGTTTATCGGCGCATGACACAAGTAATTACTCCGGAATTAGTTTTGTGGGCAGGGAATACCGCCAATTATTACAGAAATGTCACAGAAAACTAGTCAAATGTATAAATTTGCTATCGTGGAAAACACTGAACAAAAGCAAATGATGTATTTTGTTTTTGATTTTCAAAAGTTACGGGGTAACATCATAATTAGTTTAGGATATATGTATTACAGGCTATCGTTTTTTTTTTGAGGAATAGGATCAAAGATAATTTTTTAAATTAAATTTAAACCATTATTATAAATTCTTGTTACAAAACTAAAGTGACAAGACATTTGAAGAGCCATGCCTCGTCTAGAGCTGAAGACTATATTTTTCTATGGACTTACAGACGCCTTTCAAGCAATATTCCATTAAACAAACTAGAGAACCCCAAGTTCCATAATTCCGTAAATTGGAATCACATGGACTATCCTTAAATGAACAATTTGATTAATGGATGATGTACAAAAAAATATACGATGCCAATAATATATGACCAGTCAGTAGTACAATAAAAGAAAAAAGGCAAAGAGTGTTGGAAAAAATCCAGGATACAACATTTCGGAAAACATATGTAAAGTTTTATCTGGTATATAACAAGAGTTACGAGCAAATATCGAGAGATCTAGAATGATTGAAGTGTTTGGAGATCGCAGTCTGTGCCTGTCTGTGTCAATACTACAGATTTTTATATGCTAAAGATGGTGCTAGAAATAGGCAGCGTTCCCCAAATGCTTCAATCATTATGGATCTCTCTGTACATTAATATATAGTTAATGCCTCAACAATTTTTCATACTGTCCGTTGTCAACAGTAGACGTTGAACGGTTAATATTAAGTGATAAACGTTGCCGTTTCAATAAAACTTAGAAAAGTACGTTTTTTAAAATTCCCCACCATCTGTTATCATACAAAACAAAAAATTGTAATGTTCACTATTCGCTCCTCCAGATGATAAGCTAATTAACACAACGCGTGGTATTAACATCCTGTAAAACGCATTTGCCCCATTTCCACAATCGTTAACCCGAATGACGCATACTTTGAAACAGTTCAGCACAATGTACCATTTTAACTTTTACTACCTATAATTTTTAATGCGGTAGAGGCTTTTAACGGCGTCTAGCGCGACTCCACAGATGTCTAGACTGTAGACGACGTCCTCGTCACATGTTCGCAAAATGCACTTGCCCGTTCTTTATGCACCGGCTGACATGAAAGCCTCTCCAGGAGGAGAAATCCACGTAATGAAAGCGGGCATTGTGCGAGACGGGATCGGGCAGGAATGCTAATGGGTCCCATACACTACGCGGTTTTCACTGTACGACGAGGTGAAATAAACGCTAGGACTTACTAATTACTATACAGGGTGTCCGGTAAGTACCTCCTAATCTCTCGGGAGTGTATAGGGGAGGTCAAAATAAAACTAGTCCTTCCTATAATTTTTTTTCCTAATGTGCCCCCTAACGGAGTTATGGGGGGTCAAAGGGGTACCTAGAAATTAACGTTTAGGGTTATAACTTTGAAACCACCCTGTATATTTTAATAAAATTTTCGTACGTTGTATTACACATGGAGCTCTACGATTTGATGCTAAAATCAACTTTTTGCTATTATCAGGTGTCCAGAAACGGACTGGCCCTATCACAATTTTTCTCAAAATTTTGACAGAAGTAATTTTATCAAACTGAAAATATTATTATTAGATACTCTGAAGGTTTTTCTTTAAAAATGGTACTCTTTATTTATTTCGAAAAAATGAACGGTTTGCGAGATAAATCGGTTTTGAAAAAAATTGGTAACAAATACAACAACAATTAAAATTTATTTTTTTACAATAAAATCATTCCCGCTAGTGCCAGCCTACAGATTCACCATAAACATTTACTGGTGGTGAATTAAGGGAATGAATAATGCCGTTTCTTGTAAAATCAACATCTATGACCAAAATACATCTACAAATTATTATTGCTCTTGTCTCCATGGAGTTCTTTTCTATTGTTTTCGTTGTTAGACCCTGTTGATTTTAAAGTACTTGTCAAAGGCGCGTGACAGAATAAAAATTCAATTTTATTGTGGTATTCGTTTTAAGCCGTTAGAAATAACATTTAAAAATGGAAGAATATTCCTGTGCAGAATATGCTGATATGCACCTAATTTATGGGGAAGCATTATGCAACTCCGTGGAGGCAAGAAGACTTTATGAGGAAAGGTTTCCGGGTCGACATTTGCCGAGTCCAAAAACTTTTGAAAGAGTTGATCGTAGTTTAAGAGAAACAGGTAAAAAAAAATAGTGAAAAACGTTAGTGAAACTAATTTCTTCCGAATCCTTTATTTAGGAAGCTTTTTGCCACGCCGTGGTGGAGCAGGAGCCCCGAGGAGAGTACGAGACCCTCATGTAGAGGAACAAATATTGGAAGACGTTGCTAATAATCCTTCAAATAGCATAAGGAAGCTTGCGGCGCAAAACAATGTTACAAAATGGGCTGTACATGAAACTCTGAAAGAACAATTGCTTTACCCGTACCACATCCAAAAAGTACATGCTATGTCTCCAGATGATTATCCAAAAAGACTTCAATACGCCAATTGGTTTTTACAGCATCATATTCGGAATCATAATTTTGGTACATCTATTTTGTTCACCGATGAAGCAGGTTTTACAAGAGACGGCATAATTAATTCGCATAATCTACATGTCTGGGATGAAGAAAACCCTCACGCTTTAGTTCAAACTCGCTACCAACAAAGGTTTATGGTGAATGTGTGGGCTGGCATTATCGGGAATCATTTGATTGGTCCATTTATTCTGGAGCAAAGACTTAATGGTGCTCTTTATTTGCAATTTTTAGAGGAAAATCTAAATATTTTGTTAGAAGAAGTGCCCCTTCAAATAAGAACTGAAATGTGGTACATGCATGACGGTGCACCACCCCACTTTGATCGTTTAGTACGTCAACATCTGACGAATGTTTTTGGTGATCGATGGATAGGTCGAGGCGGACCTGTATTATGGCCACCTAGGTCGCCCGACCTAAACCCATTAGACTTTTTTCTGTGGGGTCATTTAAAAAATAACGTTTATTCAACACCCGTAAATAGTAGAGAGGAACTTCTGCTGAGGCTAACACAGAACTGTGACCATCTCCGCAATAATCACGGAATATTATTTCAAGTGCACCGGGAAAACATTCGTAGG